TGTTAACCCCCCCTACTGGTTAATGAACTGATTGATGAAGAATATATGAGAGAAGAAGAGAATCAGCTATTCCTAGGTAGAGATTATAAAGTGCTCTGAACTAAACCAATATGATGCACCAACCAGGGGGGAAAAAAAACAAAAATCCAGGCTGGTGAATGTCTTTATTGTGCAAAATAAAAATAGCATGGTGACTATACAATGGCTCAGTGCCAAAAGAGAGGGAAAATGTTGAACCCCACAGCACATGACTGAAAATTCACATCTAAAACACATATTCAAATTCATCTTCCGTCAGCTGAAGAAGATAAAGAGCTTAGAACAATCAGGGATTTAAAGTGTTGCTGTGTGTGTATTGCCGAAACCGGTTTGGCTCAGTGGATAGAGCGTCAGCCTGCGGACTGAAAGGTCCTGGGTTCCCTGTTGCGGGCACATCCCCAGAAGGGGGTGTGCAAGAGGCAGCTGATCGATGTTTCTTTCTCAACGATGTTTCCAACTCTCTTTCCCTTTCTCTTCCTCTGTAAAAAATCAATAAAATATATTTTACAAAAATTAAAATAAGATAAAGTGCTGCTGTGTGGTTTCAAACCATCACTTTCACTTTCAGACATGGCATAGGCTAGTGGTTAAGAGCGTGGATGCTCATTCTGCTCCTTAATCCTCACACTTCAGTTCCCCATCTTTCAAAAGAGAGGGTGCAAATAGCACCTACCTGCTGGGACTGTTAGGTGAGTTAACATATGCCCCGCCCCCTGGGCAGCATCAGGTGCCATGTCAGTGTAACCCAAGGAGGAAACATGCTAAGGAGGGGAGGTACCTGGTTTGCCTGAGAAATAGCCAGGACACTAGTGTCCTGTAGGCACAGTAAGGGAAGGGGAGTGATAGATGAGATTAGAGAGATAACAATGGCCCTGAGGGTCATTTACTCAGGGAAATGAGAATCGTAAAATAAATCACTCTGCTGAGCTGAGAAGACTATAGAAGGAGATGGGAGTCCAGTAGGGAAGGTAAGAGATAATGAGGTCTCAGGATAGTAGTGGAAGTGGTGAGAGGTGGTCAGATTCTAGGTAAATTTGGAAATTAGACCTACGGAATTGGCTGATGGTTTGGATGTGAGGTGTGAGATAAAGAGCCCAGCAAAGAAAGGATGGAGTTGCCACCAACAGAAACAGATAAGCTGTGGGGAAAGAAGCACAATCAAAGCTTCAGTTTGGAACTTGCTAAATCTGAGATGTTTATTAGACATCTAAGGGACCTAAATGTAAAATACACTGTTCTTTCACTCAAGTACCTTGCTGGTTGATTTAAAAAAAATTTTGTATTCCTCTAACATTATGCAATTCTATGTGGTTCCTGAGTCGGGTCCTTTGACAGACATCCTAACAGGAGCTGCTTGCAGGCACTGTGGAAGACCCTGGCCTTTGGGGTCAGCGTTGAATCCTGCCTTTGATTCTTATCAGGGCTTTGTTTTTCCAGGCCTATCCAGTGAACTCAGCGCACCTGAGGTTCTTCTGTCATGTATGGGTTCTACCACCTTTCCTACAGGCTTGTTGCAATTTTCAAACACAGATAACATACTAGTCACAGTAGGCTGATAGGGAGATAATTGCTCATGCTGTCTTCAAGGTGTGTCCTCTTTCTTGTCTTGTGAACAATCAACAGCATTTGAAAAGAGTAAAAGGGATAACTGACAACCAGCTTTTGTGAGAAACCCTGCAGTAAAGTTTTTGAAGCCAGAGTTCTTGCAATGTCGAGGCAAATTTGGGGAATCGGACCCAACTTAGTGCAGATCTTTTTCATTTCAAGCTTCTGGGAAGCAGAGAAAGAGGAGTGGGGTTTTATAATGCCTGAACCCACGTCCTACCTAGACCAACACTACATAAATTGAACGATAACAATATCAACCAGATATTATTCAACGAAGTTTGAATTTCTCAACAACTCTACAAACTCAAAAATGAATAAATAAATAAATGGATTTCCAGATCCCTTCAATATGAGCTAAGGAATTTTATCTCCCAGATGCAAATACAGATTTAGACAGATTCTCTCAGACCTTTCCATTTGATTCCACCTCCTTCCCATCCACTTGGACAAATACTAGGAGAAGGAGCTGTGAACTGTGTCCTCTCATTAGACCAGACCTAGCACTTATTTGTTTACCCGAGAGCCAGGAGACACAGGTGACTGTCCTTTGTGATTAGGTCAGAAGCTGGACACAGGGATGAGGCAATTACCTTCAGTGTGACCTTAAAGGCCCCGCTGACGTCAAGCTAGCTATGTAGTGTGGACTTTTCTATTGACATTTCTGACTGCCCCTTTTGCAAACTGAAAAAATAAATAAATAAATAAATAAATAAAATAAAATAATTAGAGGTCAAGTGGAAGGAAGATTGGGGAAAAGAAATCAGCCCAGGTGAGTCAGATGATGTGAAAAGGACTCTGTAAACGAAGAGGTGCTAAAGGGATATTGATTATTACTAAGGAGGAACCTTAGCCCTCCTCTATGATTATTGAACAGCGACCAGGGAGAATGACAATGCACTCTCTTCCTTTTTGCTTTTGCAGACCTCTTATTTGCAAGATCGTATCAGGCCATACTGTTTATCTTTATTGTAATCAGATGCCCGCAGTTCACCCACAGATATAAATCCTTTAAAAAAAAAAAAGTTCTTAGACTCGCCAAGAACTTGTAAGCTTTAAGTATCATTTTGTGAAGTCAGGAGAGGTCCTAGTACTATTGAAATCTAATCTTTAACTTAATTCACCAGAAGACAAAGGGAAGGATTAAAATATACTAATAGTAATAATAAATAATAATAGCTATGACTTAGAGATAGGCACTGGGCTAAGAGATTTACATTCCATCGTATTTAAAGCTCAAACAAGTCCATAAAGTAGAAACAATGATCCCCATGATATGGATGAGAAAACTGAGGCTCAGCGAAATTAGTTTTCCAAAGTCAAATAGCTCATAAGAAACAGAAATGAGATTAAGACAAGTTTATTGAACCCCAAAGTTTTCTATTCTTCTATGACTTCATTCCACACTTTACAATTGCATAAATATGCAAATATTACTAATAATGGCAAAATGTTACGTTTGAGTCCTTAGCATAAATTTTATCATAGAAAATTTTAATATTTTTCTATGAATTAGTGTCTCTGTGTTTCTATTTTTCCACTATTTCTAGTTTTCTCTATTTATCTCTATATATTCTATCTTTCTTACAAAAAATGTGCATAGACACATACATCTGTTTGTGTCTGAGCTATTTATGAATGATCTATGAATTTTTTTTTTTTTTTTTTTTTTTTTTGCCCCTTTTGGGTCTCTTACATTGTCTACTGAGTTATTTCTCATTTTGTTGTTGTTTTCTTTCGTTGTTCTCTCTTTTCTACTGGACTGGTCTTTTCTCTTTTATAAACACAATATGAAGCTAAAGTATAATCTTATTTATTGTGTTCATCTAAAAGAATTTTTGCCTTATGTACTTTGTTTATAAATGGCTTTAAAGTGGCACTAAATTGACGAACTTTTATAGTTCACATTTTTACAGCTCTCCGCCTGCTTTTAGGGTATGTTATTGCATACTTAAAGTGTCTTCCTTTTGATTATGGTCTGTGCTGGGCAGGGAAAGTGCCCTAGCAGACCTAAGACAATCCTCTACTAAAAGAATATCCATAAGTAACGTAATTAAGAAACTCCAAACCAAAACCCCGCCTGTTTTTCACAACTGACAGGTGGGAATGCTGAGACATAGAAGAGAATTACAGACCATCTTCCTTAAAGAAACTTGATTCTGTCTCCAACTTTGGGTGCAAACCGAGGGGTTAGCCCGCCCAGATACAGTTCGGGGTGCGGGGAGCACAGAGCTGACATCCGTCTCACCTCAAGGGGTTTGGATCTAGTCGCCTTTTCAATCAGTCCTTCTAGAAAGGAGCTCGGGAAGGTGGGCGGAGGTGCCAATAGACTCTCTAGACTCTATCCTCCCTCATCCCGGTCCCCCTTCACCTAGGGACCGCATGACTGGAGCTGGCCAACCGAAAGGTGCCTGGCACCCGCCACCCGCTTCGCGCTTCGCGGCCCCGCGACCCCCCACCGCGCCCCTCCTCCCCGCCCCCAGGTTCCCTTGCGGGCGGTTCTCCGCCTCGGGCTGCCCCCACCCTGCGGGCAGCGGTTTCCCGCAGCCCACCTTTCTCCAGGCGACCGAACTTCGGCTTATTTATCGGTTAAGTAGGGAAAATAATCTGTACCACATTTACCCGGCACGTGGCAAGACGGCCAAAAAAAAAAAAAGTTTATTATAGCATTGATTATTTTTTAAAATATATTTTATTGATTTTTTATAGAGAAGGAAGGGAGAGAGATAGAGAGTTAGAAACATCAATGAGAGAATAATTGATCAGCTGCCTCTTGCACACCCCCTACTGGGGATGTGCCCGCAACCAAGATATATGCCCTTGACCGGAATCGAACCGGGACCTTCCAGTCCGCAGGCTGACGCTCTATCCACTGAGCCAAACCGGTTTCGGCAACATTGATTATTTTTTTTTAAAAAATATATTTATTTTTATTGATTTCAGAGAGGAAGAGAGAAGGAGAGAAAGATAGAAACATCAATAATGAGAAAATCATTCATCGGCTGCCGATGGCACGCCCCCTACCGGGGATCCAGCCCGCCACCTGGACACGTGCCCTTGACCGGAATGGAACCGGGGACCCTTCAGTCCGCAGGCCGAGCCTCTCTCCACGGAACCACACCGGCTGGGGCGATCACACTGATTACTGATCAGCATTCCGATCCTCGGTGCCGTCATTGCCATTGCCAGGGTCTGGAGGCGCGGGGGAAGCGCGCCTCCGTCCTGCGTCTGGAAGGGCAGCGAGCGCCCGCCCCCGCTCCACCCTCCGGCCCCGGCGCCGCCTGCGGGCCTGTCCCCTCCTCCTCCGTCCCTCTGCGGCTACTGCCCGGGGACACCGGCTCGCGAGCCGCAGCGCCATGGCCGGCGACCACCGCCTCCTGCTGGAGAACGCGCGGCAGGCGGTGCTGGTGTGCGCGCGCGGGGAGCGCTGCCTGGCGCGGGGCGCGCCGCGCGGCCTGGCGCTGCTGGAGGGCGCCAGCCTGGTGGTGGGCACGTAAGTGGCTGCGGGGTGGAGGGGCGCTGGGGAGGGAAACCGGGTAAAAACCTCCCCGAACCCGCTGAGACATGGACTGGACCGCCTTTTAGGAGCCTGTTGCTAACATGTAAAAAATAAGGGTCTCGGGTTGTCATTCGGTGGGAAAAAACGCACTCAAGCTGCACATGGCAGCTTGGAATGCCTCTGCGGATGAAAGATCATTGTCCAACGATCAGAAGGGGTTGGGGTTCTTTCCAGTACTTCTTGAGGTGTGATCAAGGGACTACCTGTGTCAGATGGCCTGAGATGAGAGAAGAGAGAGAGAGAGAGAGAGAGAGAGAGAGAGAGAGAGAGAGAGAGAGAGAGAGAGATTTCAGACCCACCACCTCCCCCTACCTTCATCCCCAGATCCTTTTTTCCCCCCTATCCCCAGATCTTTTAAGTCAGCATCTCTGTTGATGGAGTTCTCAGACCTGAATTTTTATATACCCCTCTCCCACCCGCTTCTGTGCACTAAAGCTTGGGAACTACAACAAACGTTTAGATGGTGATGGTTTGGGGTAATAGAAATTAAGGTTCAGCCACCAGAAATCGAGGGCATTTTTAATTATTTTCCTTAAACCTCCTGCACTTCCTGCTAGAAGTGAGTAACAGCAGAACAGCCAGTTGAGGAGGGCGGGCCTGGGGTGGGAATGGGGGCTGGATGCCAATTTGAATGGGAGAGCTACGTGGCAGGACTTGTGCAAGAGCCATCAGTCCCACCTCTTCGCTGAGCTGTGTCAGAGTCCAACTTTTAGGGACTGTGTGTTTTTAATTAACAAAGGGATCCAACCATTTCCAGTGTTACTGTCAAGATCTGTTAAAATCAGTTAACGGAACTGCACGAAAGTAAGGATCCAGGACCAACTGACTGCCACAATCCAGAGTCCTGAGGATTCAGGCCCACTATCTTGCTCTGTTGTGCAGTACCCCTATGCTCTTAGTCACTCCCACAGGGCTGTGCCATCTCTCTTGGAGTCTATTATTTCCATTAGGAAAGAGGAAGAAAAAGCCATCCTATTGGCTAAACTTAGTCACATGGCCACACCAGGTTGTCAAGAGACAGGAAATGTATCTTTATTCTGGGTGATCATGTGTCCAGCTAAACTTTAGGAATCTAGCACCTTGAGAAAAGGGAACATTGGTCTCAGAGAACAACTAGCATTATCTGCTACACAGGAGTTGACCTTTTTGCCTTACAGGTGGCTAGAGCCACTTTTCCAAAAACAGAACTTCAAAAAAGAAATACAGTAAATGTTGACTGACACCAAGAGACATCGATAACGTATTTTAAATCATAAGTCAGATTTCTCACAATGTTTCCCCAAACAGTAGTAATTATTCCTTGATTTTTCTTCAGGGATGGGTTGATAAAAGCCATCGGTCCTGCTGATGTTATCCAAGAACAGTTTTCCGAAGCAACGTTTGAAGAAAGAATTGACTGTTCTGGGAAATGCATCTTGCCAGGTATCAACCTCTTTTCAGTAAAACCACGAATGCAGTTTTAGTAAGGAGGAAGAGTAGTAGCTTGTTTTAAAGAAGGTCTTACAATGATATTAAAATAAAATAATTACAATTTACTGCCCTGTAAGGTAAGATCATTATCGGCTTGTTACAGATTAGAATACTGAAGTTTAGAGGTGAAATATCTTACTCTTGATTGCTAAACAGGTAAAGGACAAGTTGGGAACTCAGACCCATCCATTCATTCCACTTCTTCCCACTCTGATAATGAAGAGAGACCTGGTGTGTTGTGTTTAGGTTAAAAAAAACAGTGAGAAGAATTTTATTAATGTGTTTTATAGGGAGGGCAAATAGGGAAAACTGCTACCTCCACTACCAGAATATATTTTAACGAAATACAGAGTATGAAACAAAAGACCTATCTCTAGATAGAAAAACCCCTAGAGGTTTTACCAAAGATGTATCTTTGGTGATTGACAACAGAATTAGCTTATTTACTATTTCCTCCTATATGACCTATGTTTTATGGCTTTGTGTAATGATCTGAAACAAGTTTCACAAACTCTGAGTTCTGTGTAAACACAGAGGCTAATATTTATCCCTTTAAAGTATGTGTTGTGTATATTTGACAGCTTCTACCTTCTGACTCTTGGGAGACAGAAGATAAAATCAGGGTGAAACCTTATGAGGAAGCACAGAATACAACAGAAGGTGATCTGAATAGGGACTTTTGATTGTACTCCAAATCAGAACCCATTGATCAGCCATTTGATCCATGAGGTATTTTATTTTATTTATTTTTTTAAGCAAGGAATGATGGTTGAATTTTATTAAATCTTATTCATCCTTATTTAAAATTTTATTGATTTTTCACAGAGAGGAAGAGAGAGGGATAGAGAGTTAGAAACATCGATGAGAGAGAATCATCGATCAGCTGCCTCTTGCACACTCCCTACTGGGGACGCACCCGAAACCAAGGTACATGCCCTTGACCGGAATCGAACCTGGGACCTTTCAGTCCGCAGGCTGATACTCCTGGCTCCATGAGGTATTTTATTTTATTTTTTTTTATTTATTTTTTATTTTTTTATTTTTTTAAAATATATTTTTATTGATTTTGTACAGAGAGGAAAGGAGAGAGATAGAGAGTTAGAAACATCGATGAGAGAGAGTCATCGATCAGCTGCCTCTTGCACACCCCCTTACTGGGGATGTGCCTGCAACCAAGGTACATGCCCTTGACCGGAATCGAACCCGAGACCCTTTAGTCCCCAAGCCGACGCTCTATCCATTGAGCCAAACCAGTCCCGGCTCCATGAGGTATTTTAAATAACCTGGGAAGACACACTTTTCTGAATTGTACCATGGTAAACAAAAATACCACGTGGTTGCTTTATAGTTTCTCTTTAATTAAAATATATTTCTTTCTTGAAGAAAGATCCATCTTTCTGCTTTCATAGTTTTCTTTCTCAAGGTTGACAGTAGGTATTGTATGATTCTGTTTTCACACCCAGATTAACAGCTTGGTGATATGGTCATTGGTTTTGCTCAACTCAGAGTTGACATCCTATTTCAAAAGCTCGCTTGGTGAGCATGGGCTTAATGGGGAAAAGGAGCTGTATTTTTTTTTTTTTTTTTTTTTTTTTTAGGAATATTTTCACCATGTTGAGTCACCCTCTTCTGTTAGAGCCGGCCTCTAATAGTCAAATTCTTCCTCTTCTACCTCCTCCAAGATAGCTGACCACCTCATGCTTTCCAAAGGGCAAGATGTGTATTGGGCCTGCTGTCTAAGGGCTTTCTAGTTCTTAACTTTAAAAATGATTTGATTTTTGATTACAGGTTTGGTGGATGCACACACACACCCAGTATGGGCTGGTGAGAGAGTTCACGAGTTTGCAATGAAGGTAATTGCAATGATTGACTGCAAATCAAAATGAAGCACAAACAAACACAGACAAGTCTTTTCTAAAGAGTCCGTGGGCTGTCAGGCTTTGCCACATAGATTTGACATTGTGTCTTTGCTTATGTGTCTTTTTAAGGATATTTTTACTGCCATGGACTATGGAAAATAAATCAGAACAAAACTAACTAGTTTATAACTGTCCCAAATCTTTATACTATGCACAGGACTAACAATCCCTTTAAGTATAATAGTTTTCAAAAATGTTTAACTGTAGAATCTTCATTCTAACAGCGCTGAGCTGCCTCACTCACTGATTTCTCCTCTCTTTTTCTTCTCCCAATCCATCCCACCAGTTCTGGGAGCCTTTGAAAAGGCTCCAGGAAACAGTTTGAAAATCACCGTTCATTAGGGTCAAACCAGGAAAAATATACTGCTCACAACAAAAATAAAATAAGTCTTATGTTGTTCTCATTTTTTCCAGAAGAAAAATTAGATTTATTAAGAAACATAAAATATCAGTCATTAATTAGATGTAGTCCCTCAAATCACTAGTTGGAGCCAATTTTACATTGTTTGTTTTTAGCAGAATTTAGTTTTTAGAGCAGTTTTAGGTTCACAACAAGACTGAGTGGAAGTTACAAAAATTTCCCACATACCTTCCATCCAACACCCCAGTCTTTCCCCATTTTCAACATCCTCCAGCAGAGAGGCACATTTGTTACAATGGAAACTACATTGACACACCATTATCACGCAGAGTCCATATTTACATTACCTTGGGTTTGGACAAATGTATAAGGACATGTACCCACCATTGTAGGATCATACAGAGTAGTTACACGGCCCTCAAAATCCTCTGCACTCTGCCTCTCCATTCCTTTCTTCCCCCACCCCTGGCAACCACTGATCCTTATACTGTCTCCACACTTTAGCTTTTCCCAGAATGTCATATAGTTGGAATCATACAATATGTAGCCTTTCCAGGTTGGCTTTTTCCTTTTGGGAATACGCACTTGAGTTTTCTCCATACCTTTTTGTCACATTGTTTCTAAGATAGTCTGTATGCTAACAGCTAAATCACATTATTTAGGGAAAGAAAACATTCTCAGATTTTATGTACCTTCCTCAACAAACTAGAGCTGCTTTTAAGACTTCTTTATTAAATCACAGAGTTTCAGAACCAGGTTTCTAAAAAGCAACCTTAGAGATTTGCAAATCCAATTCTCTAAAATGCAACCTTAGAGATTTGCAATCGAATTCTCCCATTGTATAGATGTGGAAAATGAGGTCCACAGAGGGAAGGGTGTCCGTTGAGTTTGTGTTTGCACCACACTCCTGCTCAAGCCCAGAGACACAGGAGCCCAGTGGCACCCCAAGAGCCTCTTCATTTGCTTGATTCACAGAGGTCAGGTCCCAAACTCTTGTGGCCAAATGCTGAGGTCTCTTTGGTGGAGATCTGAATGACTGCAGTGGGGCCCTCCCTGGAATAGCTTAGCTTTGTTTTGTTTTGTTTTGTTAAAGGTGCTGATGGGTAGGCGGAGAGTTCACTGGTATACACTGGGGGTTGTTAAAATACTGAAATACTTTTGTACCCAGTGGTAAATTTCCACTGCCCTGAGGTCAGAAATCTCCACCACATCTTGCATCTCTGCCACCCCAGTATTTCCCTGTCCCCTACCTCTTTTCTGATCGCTAGTGCAGTGGTCGGCAAACGACGGCTCTCGAGCCACATGTGGCTCTTTGGCCCCTTGAGTGTGGCTTTTCCACAAAATACCACCTGTGGGCCCGCACGCACAGTGCGATTGAAACTTCATGGCCCATGCGCAGAAGCCAGCTTTCGGCTCTCAAAAGAAATTTCAATCGTTGTCCTGTTGATATGTGGCTCTGTTGGCTAATGAGTTTAGCGACCACTGGGCTAGCGCCCTGGCTTACAGACTGTGAATCATTTTGAATATCAACCCCTCTCCCCCCACTCCCTGCATGTGCCCTGCCTAACGGTGAGCTGGTGTTCAGTTGGCAGGAGCCACGTACATGGAAATCCACCAGGCCGGAGGAGGGATCAACTTCACGGTGGAGCGCACGCGCCAGGCCTCGGAGGAGGAGCTGCTGGGCTCCTTCCAGCAGCGGCTGCAGGCCATGCTGCGGGCGGGCACCACGCTGGTGGAGTGCAAGAGCGGCTACGGCCTCGACCTGGACACCGAGCTCAAGATGCTCCGCGTGATCGAGCGCGCCCGGAGGCAGATGCCCATTGGCATCTCGGCCACGTACTGCGGGGCTCACTCCGTGCCAAAGTAACCGCAGCCGATGGACCGGCGTGTAACTTGGGCGGGCATTGAGGGAGCCGCTTTCCCCCAGGGCGGCTCACTGCTTTAGCTCTTGCAGAGAGATCTGTAGACGTCCTTGGGAAGGTGGTGTGGTTCTGATGGCCAGTCACCTCACACATGGTTCTAGGGAGGTAACCCCTAGACCCGTTACCCACCAGACCCATCACTTGGCTAGCCCCCTGATGGTGAAGGAAGAGGAGATGCTCACAACTCTGTTGGTTAACAAAGAGAGATGCGGTGGCTGTCTCCTGCTGCATCTGCATCTTCTGTGTCCTGGCATTTCTAGGCCGGAAGGCAGTCCCAGAGCTAATGATCCCAAAGAAATGCAGGATTAGGAAATTCACAAGCTACTCCACAGTCTCAGTGCAGGTTTAGGTTGTGACAACTTAGATATATAAATGTCACAGGCTTGCAAAAAATTATTTGAAAAAATAATTTATGTATTTTATAAATATATTTTGTTTCCGGGAACTCTAAAACATAACATTTTTTAATGGTAATTTTGTGTGTGCCATCTTCAGAGGAACTAAAGAAATTGACTGACATTTATTCGTTCCCAAAAGTGGGAACGAATTACGATGCTGAGGGATAAAGCCCAAGGCTCAGCGTGTGCCAAAGGACAGCTAAATCGCATGTCCACAGAGTTAGGTAGCCAGCAAGTGGCAGAGCTCTGTGTGTATTTGACTTCAAAAGCCCAGCCCTTCCTAATATGTAACTACCCTAGAATCTTAGTGAGAATGTTGGGGCCTTCTACTAGCCTCTTCTCCCATGTCCCCAAATGGTGAGACAGGAAGCCTTAGGCAGATGCTTTTAGAAATAGTGTAGATCAGTGGTTCTCAACTTTTTTTAAAAAATAAATTTTTATTGTTCATATTATTACAAATGTTACTCTCCCCCCTCCCCCCCACCCCGTGTCCATTGCTCTCCTCCACCAGGTTCCCACCCCACCCTCTGCCCTTTCCCCATCCCCCCTTGTCCTCATCCATAGGTGCACAGTTTATGTTCAGTCTCTTCCCACATCCCCCTCTCCCCTTTTCCTCGTCAGTTCACTCCCCTTCCATACCTCTGATTCTATTATATTCAACAGTTAATATTGTTCATCAGATTTTTTTTTACTTTCCTTGGTTTTTAGATTCACTTGTTGATAGTTACGTATTTGTTGTTCATAATTTTTTATCTTTATTTACTTTCTCTTCTGAAAGAACCCCCTTCAGCAATTCATATAATTCTGGTTTGGTGTTGAACTCCTTTAGCTTTTTTTTATTGGTGAAGCTCTTTATCTGGCCTTCGATTCTGAGTGATAGCTTAGCTGGGTAGATTATTTTTGGCTGTAGGTTCTTGCTATTCATCACCTTGAACATTTCTTGCCATTCCCGTCTGGCCTGCATGGTTTCTGTTGAGAAATCAGCTGACAATCATATAGGTGCTCCTTTATAGGTATAGGTGCTCCTTTACCTGCTTTGCTCTTGCTGCTTTTAATATTCTCTCTTTGTCTTTTGCTCTTGGAATTTTAATTATGATGTGTCTTGGTGTGGTCTTCTTTGGATTCCTTTTGTTTGGAGTTCTGTGCGCTTCCTGGACTTGTAAGTCTAATTCTTTCACCAGGTGGGGGAAGTTTTCTGTCACTATTTCTTTCAGTATGTTTTCGATATCTTGCTCTCTTTCATCTTCTGGGACCCCCATAATTCTGATGTTGGTTCGCTTGAAGTTGTCCCAGAGGTTTCTTACATTATCTTCAATTTTCTGGATTCTCTTGCCTTCTACCTTCTGCAGAGGAGTGTCTTCTGGTTCTTTCTGTTCCAAATCTTTGACTTGATTCTTGCGATCTTCCATTCTGTTTTTAGGACTCTGTATAATATTTTTTATTTCAGTCAATGTATTCTTTATTTCTTGTTGATCTCTTATTATTTCTTGTTGATCCCTTATTATTTCTTGTTGATTCCTTATCAATTCTAGTTGATCATTTTTCATATCCTCATAGGTCTTATCGACCTTTTTTAGGAAATTCTTGAAAAATCTTATAAGCATAGATTTGAACTCTATATCCAGTCGCTTTTTGTCCTCCATTTCTTTCGTTTGTGATCTATTTTCTTGTCGCAGCATTTTTGCAGTTTCCCTGATGGGGCGGAGTTTCAGAATGGAGCCTACAGCCTTGGCTTCCGTCAGCCCCGCCCTATACGGCTCCTGAGTCTCAGTAATCCCCAGGGTCCTTCAGTACTCATTGCAAGCATCTCTGAGAGAAAGGTGCCCTCGATTTTCGCTTGCTACCAAGCAGTCTAGGCTCTCCCACAATGAGCCCAGTATTGGGGATCAGTTCTGTTAGAAGTGGAGTTGGAGGTGGCGTTCAGAGCAGACTGGGGCTTTTGTCTCCTTCCCGCCAGGGCAATCCCACGGCACAGCCAACCGTCCCTTCTCTGCCCGCAATGTGCACACCTCCAGGACCTCCTTTCACCGCTCCCCCGGGATTCCACCTTACAGCCCAGCTCCCTCTGTTTGAGTCTGGGTCCCTGGGGTCTGGCCTAGAACTGGGTTCAGAGCAGTCAGAACTGGGGCCCAGCATAGTCCGGAGCCTTTGTCTCTTTCCCGCCAGGGCAATCTGGCAGCAGAGTCAACAGTCCATCCTCTGCGCGCAATGTGCGCGCCTCCGGGGGCTCTGCCTTTCACCGCTCCCCTGGGATTCCACCTCACAGCCCAGCTCCCCCTGTTTGAGCCTGGGTCCCCGGGGTCTGGCCTAGAACTGGGCTTCAGTGCTGTCGGGTCTGGGGTTCAACACTGTCAGAGCTTTTATCTTCTTCCCGCTAGGGAACGCCAGCCAGGCACTCAGCCGCCCTCCTCTCCAGCTCCGTCCTCTCTGTGCGCGCCGCGTGTCTCCGTACCTTAGGCCTTTACAGCTCCTCCGCTCTTCCTTCTGGTTTTCTCCTTGCTTCTCATTGTAGAATTTTTAGTCATTTGACTTTCCTGTAGTTCTGGGTAATGTCCATTTTATATTTTAGTTGTATTTTATTGAAATTGTTATGTGCAGCTGCAGCTAGGTGTTTACTGTGCAGCCATCTTGGATTTTCCTCCGCCAACCGGTTCTAATGCCACGACCATGTAATACAGCTCCTCATGTTGTGGTGACCCCCAACCATAAAATTATTTTATTGCTACTTCATAACTATAATTTTGCTACTGTTAATGAATCGTAATGTAAATATCTGTGTTTTCCGATGGTCTTAAGCAACCCACAGGTTGAGAACCACTGCTGAAGTCTCCAAGATGCCCTCTAGGTGCCCTTACCAAGTAGATTCTTTTGTGTATGTTTTTTATTGTTGTTGTTTTTAATATATTTTATTATTATTATTTTTTTTAATAAAGAGGAAGGGAGAGGGATAGAGAGTCAGAAATGTTGATGAGAGAGAAACATCAACCAGCTGCCTCCTGCACATCCCTGCAACCAAGGTACATGCCCTTGACTGAGATCAAACCTGGGACCCTTGAGTCCAAAGGCCGACATGCTATCCACTGAGCCAAAACAGCATAGGTTCTGTTTTTTTCCAGCCAGATGACCTTGCCAGCATTCCCAAAGGCAACACTGGTGTGCCAGAATGGATGAGCTGTTTGAGTCTCGGTGAATAGGGTCAGAGCATATAGAAGTCTTATCAATACCTCTGCTTTGTAGGCATGACACAATTATTAATAGTTTTGATTCTTTCTGCACTTTTCTGGGGCTTGAGTTCATTTATCTATAGTTTCTCGGGTTCCCCAAACACCAAAAAACAAAACAAAACAAAACAAAAAAACAACAACACCCTTCTTCCAGTTAAAAACTATATTTGCCCATGGAAATGTTCTTTTCTTTCCTCAGAGGAAAAACTGCTACTGAAGCTGCTGATGACATCATCAATAACCACCTCCCAAAGCTGAAGGAGCTTGGCAGAAATGGGCAGATTCACGTTGACAACATAGACGTGTTCTGTGAGAAGGGTGTCTTTGATCTAGAATCTACCAGAAGGATTCTTCAAGGTGGCAAGGATATAGGGTTACAGATTAACTTCCATGGGGATGAACTCCACCCAATGAAGGCTGCGGAGGTACAGTTGACTTTTGGTTTTTCCTTTGTCAACACTCATGTTATGGAAAACTTACCTGGTTTGTTCAAAGACAGGAGTGGCCTTCTGAAAAGATAGAAAGTGCGGAAATTTGTTTGTACAATGTACAGCTAGCTCAGGCTGAGCCTTGGAATCCCTTACCTCTATTAGAAATTTACTTTTTTGCTGTTTTTTTTGTTAGTTAGTTTGTTTGTTTTGTTTTGTTTTTTTTGTACTTTAATTTCAGAGAGGAAGGGAGAGGGAGACAACCATGGATTGGCTGCCTCCTACATGCCCCTTACAGGGGATCAAGTCTGCAACTCAAGCGTGTGCCCTGAATGGGAATTGAACTGTGACCTCCTGGTTCACAGGTCGACGCCACTTCGGCCAGCCTGGTAATTTACTTTTATTATCATCTGCTGGTGATGTTAGTAGGAAAGAAGTACCTTTGTGATCTCACTGACTAAATCCACAACCTATTTTGGTTGGTACAGAAAGCCATACTAGCAGAATCTGTTAATTTCACATGCAGCTCCTAAGGTTTTTCGTGGCATCTTTCAGATGAAGGTGAGTGAAGCACACCATTAATAACCAGGACATGATCTTCAAATATATAGGTCTTACCAAGGTTTATTTACTTACGCTTTCAACAAATAGTTGAATATCTAGTGTGTGCCAGGCACTATTGAAGGCACAGAGATCTCATCTGTGAATAAGACAGTTTGTGAGTGGGGTGAGGAGCTAAATGAACAACTGCCCTTGGGTATAAATACAGATGTAGATACCCCATATGTGTCTTAGCCATGTGGCCTGCTTGAGCTTCTAAAATCACTTCCAAATTGTGCCCTGTGTTTCCTGCCCCAGTGAGGACACCATTGTCTGTGGCCTAAATAAAAAACCTAATCTCACTTAACTCTTCCGTCCCCTTCATCTATCACATTTTAGCCAACCAACAAGTCCTGCCAATTTCCTCCCACATATCTGTAGGTTTCCCTCTCTTTACCCCACTGCCTGGGTCCAACCACCATCAGCTCTCACCTGGATTCCTGTAACCACTGCTCTTGCCTCTAAACTTGCCTCCACTTTAATCTGTTAACCACCGAAAGGCTTACCATTGGTCATAGGGCGAATTTCAAACTCCCTACATGTAGGCTTGCCAGGATCCAGCCCTAGTTTATCACTTTCTCTTCCTTTCTCTCTCCTCTCGCTTTCCACCACCTTCATCCTGTCTACTTAGGATCAACCGCATTAAACTACCAGCCTCTGCACATATTGTTTCTCTAATCCCAACTCCAACTCCCCTTTGTCTCGTTAATTCTAACTCCATTCCATGTTTCTTTTCTTTTTTAAAATATATTTTATTGATTTTTTACAGAGAGGAAGGAAGAGGGATAGAGAGCTAGAAACATCCAGGAGAGAGAAACATCGATCAGCTGCCTCCTGCACATCTCCTAATGGGGATGTGCCCGCAACCAAGGTACATGCCCTAGACCTGAATTGAACCTGGGACCTTTCAGTCCCCAGGCCGACACTCTATCCACTGAGCCAAACCGGTTTCGGCATCCATGTTTCATCTTTGCTTCTCTGAGGTCCTTCCCAAAGCTCTCCAGTGGTGGGTTACAGCTCCTCCTGTACTTACCCCACAGTGTTAAAATTGCCTCTGCGATCCCTGCTGGACTGCAAACACCGAGGACTGCACCCATGTTTTAAACAGCCCTGACCCTGGAGCTTAATGCAGTGCCTGGCACACCCATGGCCTTTACTAAGTAAACAGTTGTTGAATATTTGTTAAATGACACCTGAATGGGGTGATCAACAAGATACTTTTGGCTGTAGAGAGTGACGGGTGAATTAAGTCAATAGAGGTCAGTACCCAGGATGAGCAAATCAAGTTTGGAAAAGTGAGGTCGATTCCAAGGTCAGAAGGGAACTCTTCTGGGGGAGCATAGTCTGTCCTGTGGTCCGGACGCTCTTAGACCTGGGCCAGCTGCTGCTGAGGGGCCTTCCCTGCCCTGGTGTGTGGGGACTCAGCCGCTCTGGGCTACAGTGTAATGTCAAATATTATCTCCTCTCCTCTCCTTGGAATATGTCTTAACATACCACCTTTCTCCCTGGGCACTGTGTGTGTGTGTGTGTGTGTGTGTGTGTGTGTGTGTGTTCAAAAATTGTAAAAATGAGAAAAAAATCCTCGTTAATGGTTCCATGATCTTCATAGCATTGCCTCTTCTTGTTTTGTTGGTTTTTTTTTTTGTTTTTGTTTTTTTCTAACAATCTAGCCAAACTTTGTTGGAGAGAACTCAAGCTCAAGAAGCATTCTCAAATTACACACATGATTTGCATTTTTTGAATTAATTTCTTTATTGATTAAGGTATCACATATTTATCCTCAACCACCCATTCCAATCCCCCCCCTCCATTTATGTCCCCACCCCCCTATTGTCCTTGACCACTGGTTAGGCTCATATGTGTGCACATAAGTCCTTTGGTTGATCTCTCTCTTTTATCCCTTCCCTCCCTCTGAGGCCCAACAGTCTGACCCATGGCTCCTTTTCTCTGGGTGATTTGCATTTTTAAAGTTTGTTTTCTTAACTGATTTTCACTGAGAGCAGTGGTATTCCAAGATACATTTTTATCGTGATTTTATGATGCTATAATAGATGTTGTTATCAATATTACTCAGTGTTCTATTCTGATCCATAAGATCCATAACCTTTTCTTTTTTAGCAAATGTCTGAAAAATGTCAGCAAGCATTTGTGTAGATAAATAGTTATTAAAGCAGCACACTAGCTAATTTTCAAACGATTGTCCATCACAAACCTTTTATCCATTTTGGGGCTTGTGCTTGTGAGAGATAGTTGACAGGAAATCTTCATATGTGAGTGCTGTTTATCTTGGCAGGAAAAGCAGTTTTATGGCACTTCATTTGTTGTTGCTGCTAAATCTTTTTCTCTCTGTTCATTCTGCTTAGCTCGGGGCTGAACTGGGAGCCCGGGCAATCAGTCACCTGGAAGAAGTGAGTGATGAAGGCATTGCTGCCATGGCAACGGCTGGGTGCTCCGCAGTCCTTCTGCCCACCACGGCCTACATGCTCAGGTGAGGTCATCCTCACGCCCACACAAGAGCTGCAAGTACACGTTGTGAAGACACAGACTTGCAAGATGCCTATCATCTCATTGCCCTTCCAAATCCCTTAATAATGCAGATCAAGAAAACCTAGCTCATGGAAGGTGCCAATTCCGGAATGATGTTCAGAAATGAATTACTCTGAGGAAGGAGCTCAGAACTAAATTGACTTTCAGTGGTGGGCTGATTAGGGATGGTGGCTCTTTTTCTTTTCTTTTAACTAGTTTTGGAGTTTCTAATTTAAAGAAAAATCAGTATGCACTACCTTTATAATCAGAAAAAAACACACACACACAAAAATACGAAGTAAGCTTTATACGTTAAAATATATGCATACGCCTTGGCTGGGTGGCTCAGTTGCTTGGTGTGTTATCCCATACAACAAAAGGTTGCAGGTTTGATCCCTGATCAGTGCTTTCCTGAAACTTATTATGATCTTATACACATACATCAATGTAGACTACAGTCATGAAATATCAATCAACAATCACTCAGCCTTGAGTTTCTGTTTCTTCTCCCAGAAGAAATGAGGGTTGGATATCTTAAGTCTCCTTCCATTTGGAACATCTATTCCGCAAAAGCTCCCATTCTGGACACTGACCTCTTTGTCTCCCTCCCTTAGGCTGAAGCAACCTCGTGCCAGGAAGATGTTAGATGAAGGAGTAATAGTTGCTTTGGGCAGTGACTTTAACCCTAATGCCTATTGCTTTTCAATGGTAATTATTTTAAACATGCCTTTCAGAACAGAATGTCAAACTTCTATCAAGCATATAAGTAATTTAAAAATATTTATTTTAAAGTGTATCAAACATGAAAAATACTTTTCTGTGTAACAAGAAAAAAAATAAATAGTAGTGTATTTGGATTTTTCTGCACAGAGGAAGGAGAAAAGGTCCTGTTTGCATAGTTTTCTGATAGCTGATAGTTTTGTGGCTTTATAATAACCCATTTTTCCCTCGGAGAGAATAGGATAAGTTCAAAGGAGTTTTAGTGAGTAAGCCTGGAGGGAGTTTTATATTATACACTAAGTGATCTGGGAAAGTAGTAAATAAATAATAAATACAATTGGGGGTAATCTCGATAATAAAGGAATTTTTTCTAAAGCATAAGAGCCTTTATGTATAAGTTTGAATGTTCCCATATCAATCAAGCTATTTCCACCTACATGTTTAATCACCATTATTTGTTGTGCTGTGCTGAGAAAAATGTCCCATCTTGCTAATTTCCTCTGACACTTTCCTCTTCCGTCTCAGCCCATGGTCATGCATCTGGCCTGTGTAAACATGAGAATGTCCATGCCGGAGGCCTTGGCCGCAGCCACCATCAATGCCGCTTATGCACTGGGAAAATCTCACACACACGGATCTTTGGAAGTTGGCAAACAGGGAGATCTCATTATCATCAATGCATCCAGGTGAGTGAGTCGCCAGCTAAGCTGTCTTAAGCCTTTTGTGGGAGGTAACCTGGTTTAAAACCCTTTCCCACTAATTACTGTCAGGCTCTTTGTTGTCTCGGAAGCTACCCAGTCCAGTCTATCTTCATTCTTTTACAACAAAGTCTCTCTACAAGTCCTAAGCCTCAGGGTAGACTCCGTTTTCCCCGTCTCTTCATTCACCTTCTATCTTCCCTAGATCTCTAGGCTTCTCCTCTCCTACCTGGACTTTGGACTTGTGCCCTCTGGCATGTGTTTTTGTTTTTCTGTTTGGCTTCTAACATCCTGCTTATGCTGGGCCACACAGGTCCCAACTTCAGCTTGTCACCCTGACTCTGATCGTTACTGCTCTCACTTCTTATTCCTACTGGATCCCAAGCCCTCACATCGGTGTTCCTGCCCTGGTTTCTTACTACTCACCCACATGGTCTGCTCCCATCTGGGTCTCCCATGTGACACTGTGAGTCTTCTTATTCTAAATCTTCAGTCCCTCACGCTAGTGAGCCTATCCCAGCTCTTGGACCTCACCTTCAACAGAAGAGAGTGGCTCTGTAATTCTACTCTCTGTGGTCATACACCACTCTTATTTTCTTTTCTTAAAAAATTCACTATTATTATTTTTTTGAAGGAGAATGAGAGAAAGAGAGAGAAGCATTGATTGGCCATCTCCTGTACATAACTTGCAAACTGGGTATGTGTCCTGACTGGGAATTGAACCAGCCATCTTTTGGTGTACAGGACAACACTCCAACCAGTTGAGCCACACCAGCCATGGCCACTCTCTCTACTGAAAACAATGTTGATGTTGTTACCATTTGTGCATTATTTAATTGAATCAAATATTTTAAGTTCAAATACTTAAATGGTATTATTAAACATTATTTTATTTATCATAGGCTAGTTAGTAACATGCCATTTTTTAAAAGTCCAAATATCAACAATAGGTAGAAAGAAATTTTTAGAGAATATATTTTTAAATTAGCGTTTAAGGATAGTGATAATTTTGACTTGTATGGATTGAAGTAATGTTTGATTTCTTTCTAGGTGGGAGCATTTGATTTATCAGTTTGGAGGCCATAACGAATTAATCGAGTATGTTATAACTAAAGGAAAAGTCATCTATAAAAAATGACAGCTCTTAAAGGAAAGAGAAGACTTTAATTGTATAAAATGCATCAATACAGTATGTTAGAAGTTAAAATATCTTAGTAGTTCACAAAATGATGTCACCTAAACCTAAAAGTATTTCATTGTTTTATTAATCCACTCATAAAACCCAAGGAATTAACTTAATTTAATATGCACCTGGACTTAGAGACAGGTAAACCAATTGTGATTATAATCTCAAAACATTACATTATTTCACAAATATTTGTCATAAATATTCTGAAGACGAATATGATGAATGATCACAAGAACGCATTTGTGGGTAAAGGCAGATTGACAATCAGGTAGATGTGGCTTGAAATTCCCATTTTGTTTCCAGTTTTCAACAATATTTAGTGAAAATTGGGGGATGGAAGAAAATCAAAGTGAGATGCTCCAGATTAAGCTAAAATGCAGCCTTCTAGAATAGCAAATAGTTTTTCCTTTCCTCACCCGGTTAGTTCTTTCTAGATGTTCATCAAATGAAATGCATCAGGGTCCCCTGAAGGAGCGTGTCCTTCCATTTCTAGTTTCCCTTCAACCTTAGCTCGAAATAGACTTCACAGCACAGTTCAATGCTCATCATTTTACATACAGGTTCTGGGGCCTTCTTGTAATGGATGCTTTTTTTAACCAAAAATCCAATGTAATTTTTTAAAAATTGCTTTTAAGTTTTTGATTCTTCACATTATAATTGTATAGAAACCATGTCATAACTTTAATAAATATGTGTTGTCATGATTATTGTTGTTGTTTCCTTTTAGTCAGTCCAAGAGGTAGATCAGGGCCTTGTCTGATAGAGCTTTTCAGGAAATGAACAAATTACAGCATTACTTATAAAGAATAGATGATTATTTACATATATAAATGTAGGGTGTCCCCCCAAAATGTATTAATACACAAACACTTTGAATAATTATAAAGGCAGTGTTTATTAAAATACAGTTTATTTTCAAAATTGAACTGTTAAAGTATGTATACATTGTTTTTGGGACACCCTGTAGTTGCCTCATGTAAATTTAGTTGAAATATTTTAAAAATATTTTAATCATCTTTATGATCATAACTGTGTTATAAAACCCCATCCTATTTATAAAGAAATTATTTGAGAAATAAACAATGACTATCCAAATTGCCACCCATTTCAGGTTAATAGAGGCTGAATGAGTGAGGATTTTACTGTATTCAGTATAAATCAAATCAAACTACTCCTTGTGGGAATGTTAAGGGTCACAGAATACATCACTGTCACCACCTAGTAGCCCGGGATCTCTGGCACTATCCCTCCTGTGCTTGGAGACGGGTCTTGAGGGGATGTGGGACCACCTAGTCAATGGTGGAAATTTGGGATGTACGAGAGCGATGTAAAGACCAATATTAAATATTAGGTCTGACCTGGAACCCAAGACACACATTCTATTTCCCTCTAGGAGACACTCACTCAAAACAAATAGCATTCATGTCTTTTTTGAAGGAAAGCGGAAGAGGGTACCCACCAGGAACTGCCTTAGTCCTCCCAGGCTTTGCAACTCAAGGGAACTCTCTACAAATGCTGGACATCAGCCCCACCCCAGGCCTGCAGAAGGCCGTGGTGATAGTGTGCCCATTGAAGTCTGAGAAGTGCTGCAGCCTAAGACCCCAGCCAAACAAACTTCCACCCTGTTCCTCACAAACACCATCTGCCTTGCAGCACTGTTCCCTCTGCCTGGAATGCTGTTCCTCTCTTCTCTAGGTGGGAAATCAGGACTAGTCACCCCCCACCCCACCATGCTCCCTTCCCTCCAATACAGTCTTTATATCATTGTAATAACTGTCTTTTTCTTTAAATTGTGAGTTAGTAGAGGGCAGAGACCTCCTTGTGTCCTCAGGATCTAGTATGGGGGACTGGTTCATAGCAGGTGCTCAATAAATGAACTAAGGAATGGCTATGCTAGCATACAGATCATCATAGTAAAAATTACTTGTCAAAATACACTAAGCAGGCCAACCTAGGTGGGGAGTTATTCTAACGATAGGAAAGAACATATGTGTTCCTCGAATATGATGTCAAAGGATGATGCATGTGGGGAAGCCAAGTGTTAAAGTAAAAACCAAGCAAAGAGACAGTTTCAAGATTGGATGGGGGTGGGACTGCCACCCTAAGCTTTGGAGGTTGGGAAGATTGTGATGAGAGGGAACCGTCCAAGATAGAACATAGAAATGCTCAGAAGACAGGTGGTGAGTCCTCCTACAGTAGAGACCTCAGGGGGTTAGCTGAGACTACTAGGTGAGATCAGCTTTCACAGGGCTTTGGGTGTCAGGCTCACTTGCCAGAACTTTATCATAAAGTCAGGGGAAGCCACTGGACGTTTTTGAGTAGGTTAGGACCAGGCCGAGAGTGTTGTAGAAAGAGCAATCTGGCTTCAGAGTACATAGCAGGCAAGCAAATATTTGTTGTGCAAGTGGACTCTGGCAAGATACTTTGAACAAACCTCTTAGCAGAGAGAGAAGGAGACCTTCCGGGCTAGATGTCCAGGTGGAAAGTGAGATGTGAACACTCTACTCTGTGCTCTACATTGGGCCACATGCTGTATAGACGCACAAGGGCTCTGGTACAGTACCTCCCAAACAGTGGCCATGGGATGTGGAATGCTAACTGCTACAAGTACCAAAATCTGACCAAAACTGGCGTAAGGAATGAGAAAGTTCACTGGTTCACCCTTGGAAATTTCACAGGAAGAACAGGCTGAGGACTGGTTTATCTGGAAGCTCAATAATGCTGAAGACCCAGATGCTTTCCTTCTGTCTGCTCTGCCATCTGGTGTTGGTGTCACCCTATGGCTATCTTCTCCCTTGAGTCAGGATGGCTACCCACAGCCTGGGTGCTCTATGCCTCCTCATTCAGAGCCAGCAGGAGGGTGAGAAAGGGTGGCTGTGGTGGTTCTCAGGGAAGAAAACAAATTCTTGAAGCCTCCAGCAAAACTCTTCTCTATCTCATTGGTCCAAATTGCAACCTCAGCCCTTTCTTGAACTAATCACTAAGCAAAGAGATTGGGAATACCTTGAGACAAAGCAGGCCTATGTCCTAAACTGAAATGAATTTCCTCCAACTCTTTTTTTTGTGGTTGGTTTGTGTATTGTTTTTTAAAATATATTTTTTATTGGTTTCAGGGAGGGATCGAAACATCAATGATAAGAGAGAATCATTGATTGGCTGCCTCCTGCACGCCCCACATTGGGGATTGAGCCCACAACTGGGCATGTTCTCTTACCAGGAATCAAAATCAAACTGTGGCATGCAGGAGGCAGCTGATTAATGATTCTTTCTTATCAAAATCAAACTATGACCTTCTGGTTCATAGGTCGATGCTCAACCACTGAGCAACACTTGTCAGGCAGGTTGGTGTGTGTGTGTGTGTGTATGTGTGTGTGTGTGTGTGTGTGGTCAATGTTTAAATTTAATAAGTACCTTCAACAGAAGTAACCCCCCAAATGCAGTGATCATGTGATTTATTAGGTAATTAGAAGGCTTAATAAAAGTATAATAATCCAATAATCAGATCCAGAAATGAGGTATAAGTTTAAAGTAGCATGAAAATTATCTTTTTTTCCTCCCCCACCCCCCAAAAAATTTCAGGTCATGTATGGAATTTTATGTATGTGGTAGATACATAGAGTAATGACCCCAAATCATATGCCCATGACCTTGAGTACTTCTCTCCCAACTTGACCTTGACTTGCTCTGACCAACAGAAACAGCAGAAGCTGGAAAAGTCCTTGCACTTTGAGGTTTCTCCTCTGACAGCAGGTGAGGAAGCCAGGTGAGCCTGCCAGGAGGACATCACACTGCCTCTATTTTGCTGCTACTCAATGGGAAAGAGAAAGACTGAGTTAATCACATTTTCTAAAGATACTTTTGCATGGGCAAACATTCATCAATTACATCTTTCAGAAACTTTTTTTTAAAAATACATTTTATTGATTTTTTACAGAGAGGAAGAGAGAGGGATAGAGAGTTAGAAACATCGATGAGAGAGAATAATCTATCAGCTGCTTCTTGCACACCCCCTACTGGGGATGTGCCCGCAACCAGGGTACATGCCCTTGACCGGAATCGAACCTGGGACCTTTCAGTCTGCAGGCTGACGCTCTAGCCATTGAGCCAAACCGGTGTCAGCCAGAAACTTGATTAACCGCAGTTAGACCAGCCTTTCCCCAAAGAGGTGGTAAACTATTTAAAAAATCTAAGAATGCAGTGATAACACGAGACAATGAGTTTATTCCATATTTACCTTGCCATTCTCTTGAAGATATGTGACGTCAGTGATTAAAAGAGCTGTGTAAAGAGTTCAGTGACAGCCCTGGCCGGTGTGCTCAGTTGATTGGGAATTATCTTGTACACAGAAAGCCTGCCAGTTTGAATCCTGGGCACATACCTGGGTTATGGGCCTGATCTCTAGTAGGGGGCTTGCAGGAGGCAGCCCATAGATATTCCCTCTCACATGGATGTTTCTTTCTCCCTCTTAAAAAAAAAAAAATCAATTCAAAATGTTTTTTAAAAAACTCAAAGAAAAAGGGCCCCTAAGGACCCTGGGAGCTTGTGGGATCCAATACTCCCCAAACAGGTGTGAAAAACAGCCATCAGACAGCTGGCTCAGTTACCGCTCCTGAGTAAGAATCAATGGATTATGGGGTGTGTGTGTGTGTGTGTGTGTGTGTGTGTGTGTGTGTGTGTTGGCATTTTAGCAAAAAACAGCATCAAGAACAGGTTCCTCAGCCTTTTCTGTTGTCTGAATTGCTGTAGGCAGTAGTTCTGACTTCTGTCTCCACCTTTCTTCTGGACAGGCTGCAATCTAGAGTGAAAACTATTGTGAAATATGTTGTTGGTCCCATTTTAGTCTATGATCAGGTTAGCAATCTGGCAAGTGTGTCTGTCCTTGCTTAACCAGCTGCAGTTTTCAGAGCTATGGCTTCAGATTCCTGCACTAGGAGTTCTTTGCACCCATGTGCATGGAGGGGTGCAAAGTCACAGATCTTAGAAGCCAAGAGGACATCCAACCCATCCTTTATCTGGGAAATTACACTTTCACCTTCCCAGAAGGCCCTTTTTGAACATCCTTTTTTGGGAAGAAACATATTGGGTAATACATCCTAGGGCCCCATCTGATTTTTGTTCAATGGGGCCTTACGTGAACAGTTACCATTACAGCGAGGGGTTGGTTAACTTTTGAACAACAGATTGCTTGTCTGTGAAACGAGGAGGCTTAACACAGGGTTAGTATAAGAACGTGAATCGAGAAGGAGACTTGGTTTGGGGTGGTGAACACACAATGCAATATGCAGATGATGTGTTATAGAATTGTGTACCTGAAACCTATATAAATGTCATCCCAATAAACTCAATAAAAATAAAATAAAAATAAAGAATGTGACTTAAGTGCTAACATATAGTAAAAAAGTGACCATACTATCCTCCAACCCTAGTTTAAGCATCGAGGGTTTTTTTTTTATATGTGTAGTGATAATTAATAAATATGAAATATGCAGTTCAGTAAGAGACACTCCAATAGCCATCTTTATATTCATCCCTTAATTCGTTTACACAGACCTCTTGTTGGCCTATCGACTATTCTTTACTATGATCCCATTAGTAGAAGAAAGAGCAACTTAAAGACGAATTATGATTTAAAAAGGGTTGTTTATGAAGAGGTATGAAGAAACACTAGTCATAACATAGTACAATCAGCCAGAGTTAACTAGTAGAGAACTTGTCAAAGCAAACAAACAAACACAAACAAAAAAGATTTACCAAAGTCTAATGCTTTTGGAAACATGCCATCAGTCTGTGTCAAGATGTGAGCGGCTCTAATATTAAGAGTAAAAGACCCATGCAATGTGGGTTCTCTTCTCACGCTTAAGAGTGAGAAAGCATTAAAGAAAAAAAGCTCCTATCATCGGCTGCACCTCAGATGAGACCGACAAGAATGCAGTGCTAGAGTTAGCAACCATATTGCTGCCACCAGTCTATCCACAGTAGGTTTTAGAAGAACTGAATTATATAAGGAATTGATCTACCTAAACAGAGTTCTCAGGCCTCTCCATCAGCACAGTGCTGCTCGCTATCAAACTAAGCACCATCTGATCTACACCTCCCCCTCACCCTCCCAAAGCCCTTTACAGCTCCGTGGACTCTGGGATAGTGCTGGATTTCCTGCGCAGAGACTCCAGGGAAAAGGCCGTCGGAGAAAGAGGTCTTGATTCAGGGATATGCTCCATTCTGTATTTTTCGATGTATGGCGAAGCTACTTCCCACACCTAAGATACAAGAACGAAACGGAGATGTTGACAACATTGCTTTCATGAGCCATTAAACATCAACTTCACCTGAAGACAAAACATTATCTATACCCAACCTGTAGCTGTTTGCTTGCTTTTTTATTATAAGGCATTTAACACACAATCAGTGTCAATTGGTCTCTGGATGCATTCAAAACTTTTAAAGTCCAAGGTCAAAAACTTCTCTGAAGTTGCTATGAAGGCTTTCAGCTGCTTGCTCTTCTAAAGCCAAACAAGCCAAAAGACAAACAAAACCTAGAGACTTCGGTGTGAACAGAACTGAGGAAAGTTGCTCAGGGTCTGACTGTGTGTTTTCTCAAGCAAACCTCGAATGATAAAAGGCAGTGGATTTCCTCATCTGCTGTGTTTCCCTGCCTCGTGTGCTCCATCTCTGAGACCCTCAAAGTGGCTCCTGGACCAGCAGCATCAGCATCACTGGGGACAAGTAGGAATGTCAGCCCCACATGAAATCCACTGTGTCCAAATCTGCATTTTCATCAAATTTCCAGGAGAGCCAGGGCACATGGCAGTTTGAGAAGCCCTGCCTCAGGCTTAGCAATTTGTTCTCTATCAAGCACAACACCTTCTCAAATGAAGGCCCTTTTCTTGGTTTATAGCTATTGTTGTTTTTTTATCTGATTGCTGCTGACAGCCAAGGGGTCTTTCCCTCCCTCCACCCCCTTCTTTTGTATCACCTCAGAAAATGTATGAAGACCAAAGAGAAAAATCCTTCCCTGAGAGCAGAGCAAGGATTTCAGGGGGAATCAAGCAATTCTAGGAAACAGGATACCCACAAATTACTACAAAAGGTTTAAAGAACTTTAAAAAAATATATTTAAAAAAAAGGAGTCAGCATGTTAGGCAACTGTCTTTATCAGAGGAGTCTATAGTCAATGCAGCCAGAGGAACTGCATGTCACCAGGGTGATGGGTGGGACACACGAGAGCACCAGACAGACTCACAGCCATTTGAAGCAGAAACCTGGGGCTTTGTCTTCTCTCCAGATCTGTGCAGGCACTAGACCAGGTGGTGGTGGTGAGGACACCATAAAAAAGAGAAAGTGCCCTATCTGGTTTGGCTCAGTGGATAGAGCATTGGCCTGGGCACTGTAGGGTCCCAGGTTCGATTCTGGTCAAGGACACATGCCCGGGTTTTGGGCTTGGTCCCCAAAGGGGGAGCGTGCTGGAGGCAGCTGATTAATGATTCTTTCTCATCATTGATGTTTCTCTCTCCCTCTTTTTCTCCCCATCTCTCTCCCCACTTCCTCTCTGAAATCAATAAAAATATATTTTAAAAAAGCAAGTACTTTTGAATGAAAGAGTACATTCTTGGTGAAGGGGATCCATGAACCTTTAATCTTATTTTCTTCCCACGAATGCTTGTTCCAAAGCTCCTATTTAAAATTTATTTCTGCTTCCAATCCTCTGACCCTGAATGTTTGGGTGCCACATGGGACACCTAAGAGTTTACCAAATACCTTCTTGGTGGCCTTGCAAATTGCATAAGTGCCCTTTTGTTCCTCCCCAGGGAATAGCCAGACAACGAATGGATAAGACAATGTTTCTCCAGGACCCACTCCACTTCACTTTCCCAAAATGACCCCAAACCAAGAAAGAAGCCCAATAGTCAGCTTGCCTTTTGGTCAACGAGCAGTCTGTGAGCTGCCTCGATGTCCGGAGCCATGAAGCGATCTTTTATCCAGGGCCTGCAGAGGAAGCAAACCCAGTCATCAGCCAAACAGCCAGGGCTCATGGTTCTGAGACCATGTCACTGCCATGATGATAGACTTTACCTGACAACCGAGCGCACCAGGTCATAGACCTTCTCCAGGGGAGTGGTTGTCCTCAGGGGGCGGAGGAACTCGATGCCCTGGCAGGCTGCCAGCAGCTCGATGGCCAGCACTGAAATGAGAAGGGGAAGGAGTGACTTCCTGCTTGAGGGCTATCAATGACAGAAGTGGATGCCCATCTTGGATGCATCTTTAATGGTGAGAAGGGGGAACGAGTCCAGGTAAATTCTCAGTTTCCCCCTTCTCACCTTCTTCTAATCACGATGGGAAAATCTGTGTGCTATTTCCATCTTTGTGCAAGTTTCCTTTTGTTGTTAGTCTTGCTGATCCCTTTGGCCTGAAATACCTGGCACATAGAACTTCATCCAAGGATTGAAGGCTCCAGTGAAGGAGCAAATGAGTCTTTGGTTGCCCAGGGACTGAGTCCACAGTTGTTTGTATGGAAACTAATACAATTATCTAGACTAATAAAAGGGTAATATGCTAATTAGACTGGACATCTTCTGGGCATCCTTCTGGACAAAGCCACAGTAGCAGGGGCTGAGAGAGAGGCGGTTAGGGGACAGCAGTTAGGGGGCGATCAGGCCAGTAAGGGAGCAGTTGGGGGTGGTCAGGCCATCAGGGGAACAGTAAGGGGTCATCAGGCTGGCAGGCAGAGGTGGTTAGGGACAACCAGGCAGGCAAGCAGTTAGGAGCCAGCAGTCCTGGATTACAAGAGAGTACAGGCTGGGCTGAGGGACTCTCCCCCCATGCAAAAATTTTGTACACCGTGCCTCTAGTTAATCAATAATAATACAAGAATAAACTTTGTGTTTCGTGTACTCCCAACTGTAAACCTACTTTGGCCCCACCCTATATGTCCCTTTTGAGCTTTCAAACTCAAAAGCTCCCAAGTCCACTACAACTGAAATTCTAGAAATTGGGACTTGGTTGTCTTGCATTCTCATCTCCATGCATCTCAGATTGATTTATTTTGTTCACGCCCCTTTCCTTACAAAACTGCCATCGCTCTTCTCCCACTCTGCCAGCCCTCGTGTTGTTCAGGTCCTCATCTTAAATACTCCTTTGGAGATGCCTTCTCTGCTTCAGACTCTAGTATTTGGACGGAATCTTGTTAAAGTGCTACACAGGGTTGCCAAGTTGCTGTCCAATGTCCGCCTCTCTGGTTAGACCCTAATTTCCAAGTGGGCAGAGAGGAAGAATATCTCATTCACGGTTTAATCCAGGAAGAATCCTCCTCTTTCTGTGCCCCTTATGCGATGAGGAATCAGTAAGTGCTGCAATAAACCAGATCCTTATCTTGCAAGTTTATATCCAGCATCACTGGGTTCCAAGATTTGTAGGTATTTAATATCTGAACCAAAGCAAACTTAACTGACAGTGAACATACTTGAAAATACAAACTGCCAATTCTTTTTGTGAACTGCACCTGATATAAATGTCTAGAACTGCATCAGGTGAGCAGATTTGTAATTTGGACCTCTACGGCCAATTTTATTGTCATGTAAACATCCGAGCACCATGTCTATGCCAAACACACTTCTAGGTATTCTAGATCCATCTGGGGATGTGATTGAGGCCTGATTTGAACAATCCACTCTACAGACACTGAGATAATTGGGAGAATTTGTAAATTATACCTCAATACAGCTGTTACAAAAAAAATATTTAACTCTCACATTTATCTTAAAATAGTGATATTCTTTTATCAGCCAACTGCTTCGAATACAGTTACAAAAACAGGATCTTAGAACCGAAGTCCTAAAGGAAGGCAATTTTTCTTAAAAACAACAACAACAACAACAACAACACAAAAACAAGCAGTAATTAAGAGGTCAGGGAGCAGAGGGCCTAACATCCTGTGAAGTATCTTTGCCAAAAAGGTGGGATCTCAGATTTGTCAAGCCTTTAGGGTCAACTGCCATGTACAGGAAATGTATGGGACAGAGAGCAAGTTACAAGTAATACCACAAGGAGGCTAACAGGTGAGTGCAGAATCCCGGTCTCTATCAGAAAGCTGACCTGTTTTTTTTTGTTTGTTTGTTTTTTTGTTTTTTGTTTTTAAGCTGGTCAGTGGAATGATGTGGGGGCTGGGGGTGGGGAGAGATGGGACAGTTCTGGATGAAAAGAAGCTTAAAACCTTGACCGCCAAATCTAAAATGTGGCCCTTGCATTCTGATTTGAACAAACCCACTGTACAGACACTGAGATAATTGGGAGAATTTGAATGTGCACTCAATAGTGATACCAAGATGGGCTGTGATGATGGCATTCTGGTGGATAAGCAAGCATGGAGAGTTAAGAATCGAAGTATGCAGGAAGAAAATTATATAATGAGTTTGTTTGAAAATAATTTGAGAAAAGAAAAAGCAAATGTGCTTTTGAATCAGTGAGGTGTGTATGAGGTTCATGGTACTAATCTCCACACTATGAATATGTTCTGAAAATCTTGTGGGTTTTTTTGTTTTATTTTTTGTTTTTTAAGAAAAGCCAGCAGATGAACCAGCTTAGGCAGTAAGAGTGGTTCTTAATCTCCAGCGAGGATGAGCATCACCTGGAGGGCTGGTTACCTCCGGATTCCTCTGCCCTGCTGCCCAGAGTTTCTCCTTCTGCAGGGCTGGGAGAGGGTTTGAAGATCTGCCATTCTAACCAGATCCAGGTCATGCTGATGCTGCTGGAGGGAATCTCACTTTTGAGGACCACTGGTGAGTCACTCATTTATCAGGGAGGCCTGGGATCCCGGTCTGGGTGGGGTTACCTTGTTCCACGTGCTCGATGACCCTGAGGGCCTTCCTCGCTGCCCATCCTCCCATGGAGACATGGTCCTCCGTGGCAGCGCTGGTGGAGAGGGAGTCCACAGACGAGGGGTGGCACAGAGCCTTGCTCTCAGAAACTGCAAGAGGTCAGCACTAGTTAATTATGTTTGAACGGGAAAAAGTGCCCCAATGACACATGTTTTCCCAAAGTGCTCCATGGCATCCACTCCAGAAGCTCTGGATGGTTATGTAAGCACCACAGGGTCCAAAGTTACTTTGGGGAAGGAAACATGTTGTGCTTTTCCTAATGTGAGAACGCCTCTAAAGCTATCAGGAGTTCTAACACTGGATGGGAACCCTGATATTTCAAAGCCAAGGTGAAAACATCAGAAGCATTTAGCATGCCAGGGAGATGCGTGAGCACTTCCAGGTGCCTGAGGAGTTTGACCAGAGGAGGCTAGATGTCTGCCAGAGATATCTTAGGGAGGTGAGGAGATCCCAGAGATGACCTAGATTGATTATGGTGCATCTGAGTCACTGGATCTCATTAAAATGCAAATGTTGCATTTCAGGTGGGGCTTGACATGCTATTGTTCTCACAAACTCCCAGGTGATGGCTCTGAGGATGATGCTTTTGGTCTGAGGATGATACTTTAAGTAGCAAGGACCTAGATTACAGAATTCCTTCTCTCCAGCAAGAGAGATCAAATTCAGAGTCATCCCTCATCTCTCCCCCCGCCCCCCTGCTTTCTGAAGCATAGTAACCTCTATTTTGTAAAAACTGCTGTTTAAAATTTCTACTAGACACAGGCAGTCCTTTGTTCTATGAATTAATTCTGCTATTATTGGCTTCTGTAAAACATGCTTGGTCTAATAATAGGTAAAATAAGCTCGACTGTCTCACCTTGCCAACTGCTCCACTGAAGTCCCTGGCTGTTCCCATGCTCCAGTTATTTGAAATGTATCTATGCTCAAGCTACAAACTCATGTTACAAGCAAAGGTCTGGAAGTATAACCCCATATTATATATCCCAAAAGACTGGGAGAATATAAAAGGGGAAAGCTTCCTTCATGTTTTTGCTCAGAATTTGAGAAGCAATATTCTTCTGAGCCCACTAGCGCAGTGGTCGGCAAACTCCTTAGCCAACAGAGCCAAATATCAACAGTACAACGATTGAAATTTCTTTTGAGAGCCAAATTTTTAAAACTTAAACTACATAGGGGCTAAAAAACTCAAGGGGCCAAAGAGCCGCAGTTTCCAGACCACTGGGCTAAAGTAATAAAAGACTCCAAATTAATTGGCTCACTAAGGCGTCTTCTGTTAAGCTCGTTGATTTGCAATATAACATTTCTTTGATGCTGAATGGCTCTGAGTGAAGTGACACTGTTCTGCATGCTATAAGGACCCTGCCTGAGATAATCTAGCTATAAACGGGTTTGCCCAGGACTTTCAGGTCCCAGCACTGCAACCCAAGACCCCTAAACATGATTCTGCAGCAGGCTGTGGTGAGGCTTGTTCAGAAACATAACGTACAAGGGGCCATAAAAAGAAAAAGGTTCATCATAATGAAAGCAAGCTAAGCAACTTCATTAGGCAGCTTGGGGAGCTGAACATTCATAAGGGGATTCCAAAAGTCCATGATATTCTCTAGAAATCAACTACCTCTCCCTGCACCACGTCAATATGAGAAACCGTTGCCCTTTGAAAGGATATTTTAATACCCAGGTAAGTGAACAAGTAGAAGATGTCGGACAGAGGAGAAGATGAATTCAATGGCCCTTTGTTGTTGTTTTTTGTGTTGAGTTTTAGTGTGAGGCTTAGGTGAGGAAGGGATTAGGAAGAATAGCAGCTATATTTATTTAGCACCAGGCATAGAGAATTCTAAGGTTTTTACCTACATTAATTTATGTAATCTTCAAAACAGCCCCACTAGGTAAATTCATCATGCCCATTTTACACAGGAGTAAACTGAGGTCAACAAGACTGAGACTTGTTCCATGTCACACTGTACATGGCAGAGCTAAAATTCAAACCCAGACTCCATGCTCTTAATGAACCGCCATGCTATCCTGTCTCTTGGGCAGGTTTGCCAGATAGAAATACAGGATGCTCAATTCAATCAAATTTCAAATAAAAATAAAAGTAAGTATGTCCCAAAGAATTCAAACTTAACTTATTATCTTGCATTCCTATTTGTTAAATTTGGCAGCCACATTTTAGGATTAAATATTGATTATAATGGGAACCTCATTAATTCAAATGAGAACACAGATTTGAGAGCCAAAATGCCTGAGTTTGAATTCTCTGCTTCTTACTAGCTATGCAAGTGCGGGTAAGGCACTTAACTTCTCAGATTTTCAGGTATTCATCTGTAAAATGGAGGTGATAATAGTACCTGCCCCATGATATTGTTGTGACGATTAAGAGAGTGAGTACAAGTGAAGCCCTTAGCACTTTCTTGTTGCATGTTGTAATCACATGTGTAGTGGTTGGTATACCTAATGAAATGTATCCAAAGTTTAATTATTTATATCAGTTCACATTTCACCATTAACTATGAATGTCTTTGTCTTTTTCTTTCTGATAGTCTTCAAATTGAGAGTGGGGGGAAAAGTTACAAAAATGAAGTTCATGTGATAATCAAACCTCATTGTTTACAGTCTCACTCGTGTATTATTGTGTCAGTATAATATTGTTTAGGTTTTGTATTATATTTTTTTCCAAAAAAATATTAAAGAGGCAACCTACTGCGTTTGTATGAAGAGAGGTAGGATGCAGATGGAAGTGTTGAGAAAGTTAGATTTCATTTGAAGATAAAGTTTGGTATTTTCAGGTAAAATGGAGGGGCCCTTCAACGGACAGGCTTGGGCAAAGGGCAGTGTCCTTACCTAGGGCTGCGGCTGTGCAGTGGGCTATCATGAATCCGGAGTTCAGGCCGCCTTCGCTCACCAGGAAGGCAGGCAGCTCGCTGAGGGAGGGGTTACAGAGCCTTTCAATTCTTCTTTCGCTAATCGCAGCAAGTTCGTGGACACCGATGGCCAAAAAGTCCAGGGCCTGAAAGAGTGTCAATTCAGTTGGCCTATAATTGTAATATGCTTTCAGGGGCAGCAGCAATTCTAAGGGGAAAAAAAAGCTTACTTTGGCTGGGTATTCACCATGGAAGTTTCCTCCCGAAATAGTCTCTCCCCGGCTGGCAAAGACCATCTTTCAACATAGGTTAAGGTTTGAACACATTAAGGTGGGGTGGAGAGAGAGAGAGTCCTCAAGCAGATGTTGACATAAAGGGACAGACACACAATCTTGAAGAAGAATTGGGTATACCCAAGTCAGGGCCAAAGAAACACAAGGCATCATAATATTATAACTGTGCTAATCTGGTGAGTAGTAGTTGCTCTTGAAAAGTTTACAACCTGAAACTAAGAGCAGAGACCAGACACATGTGTGAAAGCAAATTCTATTTCTTCAATGGACTCTGTGAGCTTGTGCTCCATAGAAGAACCTGCTGAATGGAAGACATTGCTGATGCCCAACCACCAAATTGTCTGGAACAATCAATTTTGGGGAAAACTTCCAAGCAAACTCTCTAACTCAGTGATATGTATCAGCATTCTCAGCAAAGGGCAGCCAAGAAGTCATTGTAAACTTATTTAGGTCTGAGGTAGCTTTGGACCCACCAAATATTCATATTCTCAGGGATCATTGCATTCCATCATGCACTTGACTTAAACCAACAGGTGACAGACCCTTCTTCCAGGTCCCAAAGAGCTAACTTTTGCCTACTGGGCTAAAGAATATTCACTACCTATCATATCAACTTGGGATTCACTCTGTGTGAGAAGGGTTCTGACTTCCAAAGAGCTGGAGATGCACGTGTTACATGATCTTCCTCAAGTCTGGAGTTGCCCTATTCTGTGTATTATAACCATGAACATATTAGACCACATGCCTGCTCTTCTCCATGAACCCATCCCAACCACAGGCCTTGGCCTTCTCTCCATTCTATGAATCCTTATAGCGAGTGATCTCTGCACCATTTAGAACGTAAGCATGTGCTATTGTTCTTTAGCTCCAACTTTGTGGGTTGGCTATTTGATAATAGCAATTAGAAGATAACTCCCATCCTATCTAGCAACTAGGTAATAGATGCTCTTCATCTGCAATAGAAACCTTAGGAAAACATTCTTTCAGGTAATACCAGTATTGCAGGAGAACTCCCAAAGATTAGGCAATTGGAAATTCATCAGGGATTGAAACACTTTAAGTAAAAGACTTTTGGCTGAAATTTTTGCTGAGACAAGTAGTAGGGGGAGAATTTAGTACAGAATTATTTCATGTCTCATTTCCAATAATTTAATGGTTTGTGTTTTTTTACTGTCTAAGTTACCCTTTCAACCTACATTATGCAAATGTCTAATGGGTACTTCTGCTCTACAAGATGGATAGATGAGATTACCTGGAGTTCAGGAAAACTACTCCCTTTGGGAGATGGGATGATGTACAGGTGGGTTAGTGAGTTGAGGATTATTTTGTGAGGGTTTAACTGTGAAACGATCCGAAAGGATGCAAAACCCACATCCTGAAGTAAGCTCTCCAGAGAAACCTCACACAGCTACTGTGGACCCATCTACTAGCCCAGGCTGCGAGCTGCTTTTAAGGATGCTGACCCAGCACTCTCTGCAGGACTGAGACTTAAGGCAGATGTGGGATAGTAAAAACAGATTTCTGCAGGGTTTGGTGGTCTTCACAGGCAGTATTGTTGCTGTGGAGACTTTGCCAGTGTGACCCCTGAGTGATCGCATTCCATGTCAGAAACAAGATGGCTCTGAGATAGCCACACCAGGAAAGAGTGTTGGGGCCAATCCTTGAAAAATGGAAGTATTCTTACTCTTTGTACAGACACAGAAAACACCAATTTGAGTCAAGTCCATGTCAGAAATAAAACCTTAGGATATGGAAAACCATGCCTCTTTGAGCAACACTTTGGTAAATGTTAAAGGTTGCTTCTGTCTAAAGCATCATGGCATTATTGGGACCAGGAAGGTGTACATACCCTGGTCTCCACAATCACACCTGGCACGTAGGTCTTCATCCTTCTACCAACAATCCCAGCAGTGGGTTTTAGGGAAAAAAAAAAAAAATAAAAAAAAAAAAAAAAAAAAAAAAATATATATATATATATATATATATATATATATATATATATATATATATATATATATGGCTAATATGCAAAGTGTCCCCTCAGGAGTTAGATCTGGAGACTGGGAGTTTGATTGTTCCCTATGATGTGCACTGACCACCAGGGGGTGGCATAAAACGAAGGAAGGCTCCAGCTGGCAGCCAGGGAAGGAGGCCCCCAGCTGACAGACAGAAGGCCCAGATCAGCATGATGGCTGGACAGGCCTAGGGACCCTACCCATGCATAAATTTTGTGCACTGGCCTCTAGTGTCTTCATAAAACTTCTCAGCCAATGCTGGAAACGCATCCCCATTTCATCTTTAATGAGTCAATTTTGAAGCTTTGGCATGTTCCACTCTGAGCCTGAGATTAGGTTCAGAGAACTACCTCTGCCACCTCCCAGCTCTAATCTGGACAAAGTTCCTTAACTTGCGAGCCTCAGGTACTCAGTTTATGAAATGAAGTGACAGGAGGCAGGACAGAGCTGCTGCACAGTGTTCACTTCACATCTTAAAGTTACCAGCGGAAATTCTCTGACTATAGTTCAGTAAACATCAAAAGATACAGGATTATCTGTCGCGCTGTTTAGTTCTGTGGTAATCAGTTTCTTCACAAACGCTATTGTGTCATTCGCCACACCATGGACCTAAAGTAGAAGAGTAAATGAGTTACTACATGGAAGACTGCCTGTCACGTAGAGTCTGCTATTCCTGTTAGACTAGCAGGATGTTTGGAAGTGGGATGTATTCCTTTAGCAGACCTAATTTGGCAATTCTTCCCCATAGACATTTTTGGTCTACCAGCTAGAATAGAACTTGCTTAATACAAGGACGAGAGTCCTCTAAAGAGGACTCTTTATACACTGTAGACTGGAATTTGATACAAGCTGAAATACAGGGTGAGGCAAAAGTGTAGAGTTGTGACTATGAGAAAGACTGCATTTATTCTGGTGTTATTGAACAACCATAAACCGACTTTTGCCCCACCCTGTATTGTTTCATTCTTGAGACGCATTCTTACGTTAATCTCTTATTTAACTAATTGCCATATGCAAATGAGTTGTAAAATTGATACAGGATGCCTTAGGCTAACCCAAGGCATCTGCACTTTTTATTGAAAGTTAAGCCTCACAGATTTATTTGCCATGGTTTAGGTCTGCCTATTAAATGCAGCCAAGGTATATTATGGATGGGCCCTTGAATTTTTATTAGGCTTTTCTGTGAACATCTCTGGCCGGCTGGTCCTAGTTCTATCACAGGGAGAGCAAGCAAAACTCCACTAACTGGTTAAGATAATGTTGTCACTGAGAAATTGGAAAAGGAGGGCACTAAACCAACACAGATGCCTGTTGGACTTCCTTCAAGGTTGAGCAAAGCTATTCAAAAGCTTATCACATGGAATAGAAACGACAATAATGGGACAAATAGAAGTATGATCTACAAAGTTTTTAAGAGAAGCTGTAAAGAAACTTGGATTCTAATTGACCAATCCATGATTTTCTAACACCTCCTTCTTTTTCTGCTTCCCACTTGCACTGGGAGAGAGAGAGCACTTTGGTTTTTGGGTTTACCTGTGGACAGCAGCGCAAGGTGTACGCGTCCTGTACGCGGTCACAGAACCTGTGACTTTCTGTGGAAAGGAGGAGGGAAAGGCAGGGAACATGTTATCAATTTCCCTCCCCACATAACCCAAAACCAAATAAGCTCACTCACACAAACATGCCCAGACCTGCTATTTCTGATGGGTGGTGATCCGAGTCCAAGAGTGACCGAAACCGAAAAGCAACTTCAATTTGCCCAGGATGAGGGCGAACGGCATGAATATCTAGAATTGATGAAGGAGAAAAAGCCTGAGCAAGTCTTATATTAGAACGAACTATCTTGGATGTTCAGAAGCATCCATAGTGCTGACATGGCCCTCAAAACCCCCAGGGGACCTAACTACCACCGAGCAGTAGAAATTTATCTCCAAAAACAAGATATTCCTTATTATCTTTTTAAAAAATATATATTTTTATTGATTTTAGAGAGGAAGGGAGAGGTAGAATGAGATAGAAACCTCAATGATGAGAGAGAATTATTGATTAGCTGCCTCTTGCACGCCCCCACTGGGGAACGAGCCCGCAACTCAGGCATGTGCCCTTGACTGGAATCAAACCCTTCAGTCCGCAGGCTGATGCCCTATCCATTAAGCCAAACCAGCTAAAGCTCCTTATTGTCTTTATTTTTTGGAATCTCCAAGTGCAAATTATGTGTTGAGAATTCAACTACTGGGAATTCAACTCAAGATGCTGGGCTACCCTAAAAAGATTTAGGCTCATAATGGTAGTGAGATCTATAGTGGTCTAATTTAAGAAAGTGATTTTGAAACAGTTTTTATGTCCTACTGTATATAATAATAAAGAGTCTTTCAAAGTAAGCTACCACTTCTATAGTTTCCACTCCCCCAATTTTTTACAGGGGACCAACCTCAATTCTACTGCAGTTCTAAAACTCTGCAAACAGGTTCCTAAACAGCATTTAGTTTGATGAGAGTCAGACCTAGGTGATCTGTGGCAGGTTACTTAACTCTCAGAGTCAGCGTCTATTTATAAACCGTGGTCATTCCACGTGTTGAGTGTGGCAGAATTGAGAAGAAACTGTAGCAGTATTGTGCACACCATAGGCTCTTGAGTTTTCTCTTTCTTCCCTACCACTCACCCCCACCACTCACATGTCTAAAGATCCCAACCAGCCCACCCCACCAGCTCTGGTTGACTGAATAACAGTCAAACAGAGGGACCATGCTCACCGGTATCGAAGGCTCTGGTGGTGCCTTTCAGCACTTCCAGGGTCAAGGCCGCCACTATGTCAGCCTGCCTCGCAATAGCACTGGCTCTCTCCACAGCTTCACAGCCCAGGGAGGTGATCATCTGCGTCCCGTTGATGAGTGCCAGACCCTTTGGGGGCAGAGAAGAGAGGGTTCCTACTGTATTTCTGTAACAAGCCTATGTACAAGTTGATTTAGTATCTTTTGCTCTCATGAGAGGAAAGTTAGCCTGTCGGTCCGTTAAACGATGTTTATTCATGTTTTTTGTAGTGCAGGCCAGTAATGACTATTTAAGAACTTGAGGACTAAGTGCCATCCTACATGAAATCACTACTATAAATCTGGCAAATAGAATAGCTGTTAAGTATCCCCATTCTCAAGGCAGCAGAGTAGCTCCAGTGTGGAAGGCATATAAAAATCTTAATTATGCTACATTTCTTCTTTAACTTATCATCATTGTAGACAAGATACACTAAACATTTCTGGTCCAAGACTCTTGGCTTAGAGTATCCTAATGGATGCTGGGTTCAAGTGTCTCTTAAGGATCCCTAGGGGTCTTGATTTAAAGTTTAACTTCTTAGGTAAGAGAACCCTTAAGTATTTATGGCATGAAGAATTTTTTAAATACTGATGGAGGAGCTGTTTTTTTCAGTGATCAACATTCTACAATCATGTGAGCCATGTTTATTTTAATAAATCAGTGAGACTGGCCTTAATACTGAAAGTAGTGTATAAATAAAGACTTGTTGAGATGGGCAAATTTCCCTTGAACACCCTTACCTCTTTTGGCTTCAACACTATTGGTTTCAATCCATGGGCTTCCAGGACCTAAAGAATGATTTAAGAAACGAAAATGGGTAATAATTACTAATTTTATGAGGAACCAAATAAAAGATCTTTCAGCCCAAAGGTCTGTCTTATAAAAGACTAGAGGCCCAGTGCCTGGATTTGTGCACTGGTGGGCCATAGACTGAGTGCTATGATGCACAGTTCAGTACCTGTGAGACTAGCAACTAAGTAAACCTATGGCAACATCTGACCCTCCAGATAGGCACCTGAAGTGTTTTAGGTGCAGAAGAAATTCCTGGTATCAACACTGGCAGCTGCACCTTTTCACCAAGGTGATCACCAAGGCCAAGTTTCTAACTCTCTATCCCTCTCTCTTCCTCTCTGTAAAAAAAAAAAAAATCAATAAAATATATTTTTTTAAAAAGTTAGAAATGATCTAAATATGGAATTAAGAGATTTTCCAATGACCAAAAGTTGCATGTGGCCATTCAAACCTGTTGAAGAATGTTTGGAAACATGTCAATATTGATTTTAGGAAAGTGATATAAAATGTTCCAGAAGGAGAAAGTTCACCAGAGCGTTGACGGAGTTTTCTGGGAGGTAAAGTCATAGGCGACATAACCTCTACTTGCACCAGATTCAGAGTCTGCCATTTGACAGCTGGGTATGGAAGCTGAGAGCCTTGTCTAGTTTGAAAGCTTCAGTTTTCTCATCTATAAGATAGGGATAACAGTGGCCCCCTCACTGAGATGCTGTCAGGATTAAGTGATAGAGAGCATGCTGACCGCCTGGTGTCCAGCCCAGAGAAAATCCTCCCGACGAATGCTGTTGTTAAAGTCTTACGTATTTCGCGTCAGCCCAGCCACTCTTTGGAGACCACATCTTCCCTTCTCCAGTTAGGCCAAGAGCAAGATGAGAGAGTGGAGCAAGGTCTCCACTGGCACCAACGGTTCCTTTCTCTGGAACGTAGGGCAGGCAGGAGGCTGGAGGGGAAGTAGACAGCAGTTACTCCAGGACAACTTCCTTCTGATCAAGCTCACTTTGCCAGCGAGACCCACCTTCCCCAGTAGGATCTAGTACAGATGCCTGGAGAAAGACAATTACTCAAGGACAACAGAAAGCATTCTAGGTTTTAGCCAAGACTGTGTGAAGGTGGTTGGGAATACTGTCTATAGAGAAACAATCAAGATCAGGCTCTGTGGGGAGAAGGTGATATGGAACCTGTATCCTCATGTGATCCTCTGCTCCTTTACTTATTGTTACTGTGCATGTTCTAATCTGATATAGAAATTTCTAGAGTTCTAGCAATGTATCTTAAAGACGTGACCAGGAGCTAGCTGGTTCATTATAGTCTTGTTCCTAAGAACAAAAAGTTAGAAATGGCCTAATCAGTTTGGCTCAGTAGATGGCGCATTGGCCTGCTGACTCAAGGGTCCCGGGTTCGATTCCTGTCAGAGGCATGTGCCTTGGTTGCGGGCACATCCCCAGTGGAGAGTGTGCAGGAGGCAGCTGATCAGTGTTTCTCTCTCATCGATGTTTCTCTCTATCCTACTCCCTTCCTCTCTGTAAAAATCAATAATATATATATATTTTTTAAAAAGTTAGAAATGGCCGAAACTGGTTTGGCTCAGTGGATAGAGCATCAGCCTGCAGACTGAAAGGTCCCAGGTTCGATTCCGGTCAAGGGCATGTACCTTGGATGCGGGCACATCCCCAGTATGGGGCGTGTAAGAGGCAGCTATTCGATGACTCTCTCTCATCGATGTTTCTAACTCTCTATCCCTCTCTTTCCTCTCTGTAAAAGAATCAATAAGATATATTTTTTTTAAAAAAGTTAGAAATGATCTAAATATGGAATTAAGAGATTTTCCAGTGACCAAAAGTTGCATGTGGCCATTCAAACCTGTTGAAGAATGTTTGGAAACATGTCAATATTGATTTTAGGAAAGTGATATAAAATGTTCCAGAAGGAGAAAGTTCACCAGAGCGTTGACGGAGTTTTCTGGGAGGTAAAGTCATAGGCGACATAACCTCTACTTGCACCAGATTCAGAGTCTGCCATTTCACTATCACGTATAAAAGGACATGTACTATTTTGTAGGAAGTCCCCAATAGGTTTCTAAATAAACTCGGACACCTAATAGCCGTGTTTTTGCTGATTGTTAAATACTGACAACAGGGTAACGGAAGTGCCACCCACAGGCCAGCTTCCAGATCAGAGTTCACCCTGGGAGATCTTTAGGACTCTAGGGCCCCAGAAGTGCCACCAGAGTTACCTTATGGGAGATGCCCAGCCTGAATGGAGGGTAATAGAGGGTCAGTCAGGGAGCCATTGCATTACCATTAAATGCTTCGATAACTTGTTTGAGGGTCTCCAGGGAAATGCCGCTGTATCCTTTGGCTAAGACATTGATCCTCAAAGCCAAGAGCATCCGGCATCTCTCAGGGATGAGTGGTTTCCCAACACCTACAAAACAATCAGAAAACAAAAACTCTTCCACCTCCTGACTGCCTCCATTTCTCAAATCTTTCTTCACCTCTTAACTCAGAATTGGACTGCTCTTCCGTCCTCACTTTCTTGCTTTTTAAAGTCTCACCTACCAGAGAAAGTAAAGCAACAGGCAGACTGTCAAATTACAGTGTGGAGGGGAGGAAGATCTGGGGGAGATAATAGATCAAACGAAGGACTTGTATACATGCATATAAGTACAACCAATGTTCATAAAACTCTGGGGAGGGAGGGGATGGGTGGGAGGGAGGGGGGTAAAAAAAATCAATAAAATATGTTAAAAAAAATCAATAAAATATGAAAAAAAATGAAAAAAAACATGAAAGAGTTTATTTCAATTAATGGATAGGTATTTATATGTGACTTACTAGAATAATGAGTTTAAAAAAAGAGTGATGAGACATAAGACATGGGATGTTACAAAATGCTATAATGCAGATATGAGTGTGCATACACACATGTGCATTTTTAGGGAATAAAAGCTGAAAAAAATGCCACATTATGTATGCATGTATAAGTATTCATAAATTTTTTTACCTCTACATAATTATGTACTTATGAATCTTGTATAAGAATATGTGCTTATTTCCAATTAAAACCTGAATGTTATAAAGTAAAAATAATAATAATAATAAAAAAATAATAAAAATAAAGTCTCACCTACCAGAAAAAGGTGGAACCCCACTTCTGCCTTCTCAGTTTCCCTTCGTGGAACACTTCAGCAAGCCCCCACTCCCCACCCAACATCCTTAGAATAGTGTCCAGACTCCTCAGCACACGTTGCCTTGCAATCGCACCTCATCCTGATCAACTTATTCCCTGACTTTCAGCCCTAATTTTGTGTCCCGAGTGCATCATTCTCTTGGCATCACTGTACCTGCACAGATGCTCATGTCCCAGTCCTGTCCCTCTATGTGGCCCGTGCCTTTTTTTGAGGTTCAGCTGGAAGGTGGTCTTGTCTGCTGCTTTCTGCTTCCCTCCCTCCCTCCCCCGAAGCACCCAGTCCCTGGAATATATTGACTCTTCGTGGCTGTTACAGGATGCATCACACTATACCTTGTTCAGCTAACCCAGTGGTTGGCAAACCCATTAGTCAACAGAGCCAAATACCAACAGTACAATGACTGAAATTTCTTTTGAGAGCCACATTTTAAAAAATTAAACTTCTTCTAATGCCACTTCTTCAAAATAGATTCGCCCAGGCAGTGGTATTTTGTGGAAGAGCCACACTCAAGGGCCCAAAAAGCCACATGTGGCTCTGGAGACACAGTTTGCCAACCATGGAGCTAACCGAATAAGATCTAGGAGGCACCCAATGTTTCGAATGATTTACCTGCCGAATGTGAACGCACTAGGTTGAGCTGGAGCTCCCTGAAAGAGAAAGGGGGAAAAAAGTCCTCTTATTGTTACTGTGGATGTTCTAATCTGATCTAGAAATTTCTAGAGTATCTTAAAAGACATGACCAGGCATTAGCTGGTTTATTCTAGCTATGTTTCTAAGAACAAAAAAGTTAGAAATGATCTAAACATAGAATTGAGAGATTTTCCTATAACCAAAAGTTGTGTGTAGCCATTCTAACCTATTGGAGAATATTTGGAAACATGTCAATATTGACTTTAGAAAAGTGATATAAAATAGTTCCAGAAGGAGAAGGTTCACCAATGTGTTGATGGGGTTTTCTGGGAGGTAAAGTCATAGTCATGAAAATGGCCTCTCGTCTGGGGAAGTGAAGGGAGAAGGACAGGTGCTTCTTTGGAGGGACAGTGAGGGCATGAGGCAGTGGAAGAAGCCAGCGAGCCTATATGTGCAGTACCAGGTCATGTGTAAATTAACCTGATCCTCTTCCTCCTCATCTGTAAAGTGGGCCGTGGGCCAAATGTTATTTCCCTTGCTGAAAGGAATCTGAAAAATGGGGATAGGTGGCATGTTGGATATGTGTGTGAGCAGGAACCCAAACTTACTCTAGCTTATTGATAGGAATCACAGTTCTGGCAAACTTCCCAAAACCGGTCGTAATGCCGTACACAACTGGGAAAAAAAAAAAAAAAAAAAAAAAAGACAGACACCCTCCAATTAGATGCAGGACATATTACTTTAAGTCCATAAAAATAATTGTAGGACACAAAGGGGAAAAGATACCCGTTTTTTCTTTTATGATGCTGTCTATGACATCCCTGGATTTCTGCACCTTCTTCTCCGCAGTCGGGGTGAGCTAGGGAAACATTGGTTGGAGAGGAGCCCGTAGATGTCAGAGTGTGGCAAAAGGGGTCAGAGGACGGCCGTCCCTCCCCCTCACCTTTATCTTGTAGCGCCCCTTGCCCAAGTTGACCAGGTCCTCCGTGGTCAGGCTGTCCCCATCTAAGTCGATGTACTGCACAAAGGAAGGGGTCTCTGTGAGTCTGAACAGCTTAGCTGCTCGAACGTGAGATAGGAAAGCCTCAGGCAGAACCAAACTTGGCCTCTTCAGAGATCTTATCACTGCAATGAATGTGCTACACGATAAAAAACACCTTAAGAGGAAGCTGCATAAGGACTGTTTTTCTAATGCTTTTTCCTACAACACGGAGCTGGACAAAGTCCTGTCCTAATTGGTAGTGTTTGCTCATAACTCTTGCTGCCACCCCCCCCCCCTCTCCCCGCCCTTGAATGAGAGGGACTTCATTTTCTTAACAGAAAGAGTGGCTTAGCCCTAACCGGTTTGGCTTGGTGGATAGAGCCTCAGCCTGTGGATTCAAGGGTCGCAGGATTGATTCCGATCGAGGGCATGTACCTTGGTTGTAGGCACATGCCCAGTGGGGAGTGTGCAGGAGGCAGCTGATTAATGTTTCTCTCTTTTGTCGATGTTTGTAATTTTCTACCCCTCTCCCTTTCTTTCTGAAAAAAAAAAAATCACTAAAATATATTTTAAAAAAAATAAAAGAATTGGTAGTTTCAAGGAAAAGCTAGGTTAAAAAAAAAAAAAAAAAAAAAAAAAAGAGTGGTTTTTGGCTTACCTTTTCAGGCTCTCGGTATTTGCTGTACCTGAATCCAGGTAAAGGAAAACACTGGGGAGTGTGGCACAGCCCCAGCCCCGTCCCTGGAGGGAGGCTACCCCCCCTCCCCCCTCCAGAGCAGGCCCTGGAGCCTGCAGGAAAGGATACAGGTAAACTCCCTCTGGCTGCGATGGAATGAAGTCAGGAGACATGGCATCCCCTTCTATGACTGAAACAAGAAGAGGAGAAGGACCTCTTACCAATCACAATGGAGAGCCACTTTTGGCCTTGGTGATACAGCAAGGGAGGGCCGGCCCTTCAACTGCCTTTGAATTCTACAGAAATAGCTGTTTTAAAAGGACCTCAGATACTTCTACGTGCACTCAGCATCTTTACAATGACGAAGAGCAAAGGGCAGAGAGGTAGGCGCTGGGTGTGGACTCCAATTTAAATGAAAGTTCAAGATCTAACCCCCACCTCTGTCCCATCCCGACTTTATTTTGCTTGAAATCTGACCTCCTCTATGCCACAGGCCTCTGATCTGGTGAAAGTCTATTGAAGGGTTAAAGGATCTTCACCATTAAGTTTCTAAAAATAGCTATATATACCTGCCTGGTGGCTCAGTGGTTGAGCATATGAATCAGGAGGCCACAGTTCAATTTCCTATTAGGGCATAGGCCAGGGGTTTGGGGCTCCATCCCCAGTGGGGGTGGGGGGGTGGGGAATGGGGAAATAGGAGGGGAGTTCAGGAGGCAGCCGATCAATGATTCTCATCATTAATGTTTCTATCTCTTTCTCCCTCTCCCTTCTTCTCTGAAATCAATAAAGATATATTTTTTCCAAAAAAAAAAAAATTACATATGACAAAGTAATTCAATTACTGCGAAGGGATTCAGACCTGTAGTCCCGAACTCCTATCTGCTCTTGGCTTCTGACCTGCAGCCTGACTGACCCTAGACAAGTGGCCTCCTCTGGGAGCCAGTTGCCTTGTTGTAAAAGGTGGATAAAGCTGAAACCGGTTTGGCTCAGTGGATAGAGCGTTGGCCTGTGGACTCAAGGGTCCCAGGTTCGATTCCAGTCAAGGGGGTGTGCAGGAGGCAGCTGATCGATGTTTCTCTCTCATTGATGTTTCTCTCTATCCCTCTCCCTTTCTCTTTATATAAAAAAAAATCAATAAAATATATTGGTGGGGGGGAAGGTGGATAGAACCCCCCTTCCTCAGCAGGGTGGGTGAGGATCGAAGGCCCCCAAAGGCCTACCAGCACCCGCACAGCCAGCATGCATTTTCCCAGCGGGCTGAGGAGACACTCAGCTCCGCCGTGTGCTGCTTCCACTCGCGCTGCTCCCCTCCTGCCACTCACCCACTTCCACGAACTCGTTGTCCTCCAGGGCCACCTCGAGCGGGTCGTCATTGTCCAGCAGGCCTAGGCCCTTGCAGCGACGCATCAGGAAGTGCACCTCGTCCACCGAGGCGAAGCCCCCGTTGTCCGGCTTGTTCTTGATGTACCTCCGCACGGCCTCGCGGCCCAGCCAGCCCACCGTGAGCTGCCCGTCCTTGCAGGGCACGGCCAGCCACTCGCCGCGCACGTGCACCGTGTACCGGGGCATGGCTCCCGCCGCTCCTGCAGCACCCAGAGGCTAGTGCAACCTGCTGCTCCGTCCTGCTGCCCCGCAGGCGACAGTCACTGGGGACAGGCACCAGGAGCGGGCAGTTTTATCTAGCAGCGGCCTCTGAGGTGTGGGTGGGCCGAGGATGGACTTTCAAAATATGCCACCTCCCTTGCCTTTACTCATGCAGATGTTGGGCAAATATTTATCGGGGTCCTGGTGTCCCTGTGGGTTTTTGCAGCTGAGCTAGAGGCCCAGAGGGGATGCAGGTAGGCCAGCTGCCTGCACACACACCAGTGATGCAGCCCCAGGGCTGAAAGGCCTGGGGGTCTTAGCAACCCTGTTCTTTGGGCTTCCTGGTCTCTTCCCCTCATGGGTTCCTGTCTGCATTCTCTTCCATCAGGAGCAACTTATAAACACCATGTCCCTGTCTTGATTGCGGATTACTCAACGGTGAAATAACCTGCCAGCCCAGTGTGACACCGGCAAGTGTGGCAATCCTCACTCATTTGTTTATTCCACAAACAGGTGTTGAGCAAGAACTCTCTCGCTGCTCAGGTTTTCCCAAGCTGCTCCTCCACAATGGGAGGCTGCAGAGGCCAGAGATGGTTTTCACAACTTTTCAAAGGTCACTGTCTGGTCCAAGAGCCAGGGCTTGAAGGTTAACAGCTCTGCCAGCCAGCCCGGGAGGCACGCCACCCGCTCTGTGGCTGGTTAGCCTCCAGCCAGTAAGTTCTTAATTCGCCTGTTTCCTCTTCAGAAGGGAAAGTGAATAAATGCCTCATTGCAGTTATTCACCATATCTACCCAGATCCAACCTTGGGCCTGCCTTTTACTAGCTGTGACCTCCGGCAAGTCGTTGGACTTCTCTGGGCCTCAGTTTCTTTCATCTATCAAATGGAGATATTGGTAGTATCAATGGCAGAGGTCTGTTTGGTGAGAGGATTGAGTGAGTTCATGTATGGAAAACCCTTAGAGCTGCAGCTGGTACGCTGAAAATGCTACCGGCGTGTTTGTGACTATTACTTGGACTTCAGTGCGCTCTGTACCGATTTTGTTTTATGGATGTTCGTTCATCTTTGTACATGAATATCCCCAATCCAGTTAAGCTTTTTCAACACACATAACTGCTCCCTGCACCCAATTCATTGCCACTGGTATTAAGAAAGTCTGAAGGGCATGAAAAGGATCCAAGAAATGTGGGCTAGGCTAGGAGTAGGCACTAGTGGAGCAGCATTTTAGTGGTAAGCCAGTTTCTAGAGATTTGATGAACACAATAGAAAAGAACCCTAAAAGGTCTCTTCCCGTTAAAACAGATTTCTGCTGGGACTAGAGACACAGTTGCTCACAGAAATCAGTCGTACCAGCATCTCTTTCTCTGGCGGCTTCCCGGGATGCGTACAAATAAAGAGCTGACGTGCCTTGAGCCTTATTGAAATTGGACTTGAGCCACCCGAGTTCTAACCGCACTCTGGATTTGTCCTAATCTTCCATTCCAATGGCCACCTCTGGCCACAGCCTTGTAGCCTTGCAATGCCCCCTTTGCCCCCACCAATTTACTTCGGTCATGTCCGCCCTTAGGACTTGACCTTCTGCCCTCCACCTCCTCCTTGCTTCTTCACTTACTTTCCTAGGAAGCCAGTTCCCTAGTTGCCCACCTGGACCACTTTCTTCAACACTTTGAAAACTTCTTTTTAACATTAAACCTGTGCCTACACTCTGAGTGCAACCGGACCCCTGGGACACCACACAAACTGTGTCCACCCAGGAGAGGCTCTGCTACAGAAAGTCCTGTGACGGTGCAGATGGTGGCACTGCCCTCTTGCTTGCCCGCCCACTTCCCAAAACATTCACCAACGCCTTAAGGACCTTTTCAATATCCACCTTCTCTCATTCTCAGAGGAAGACCTTACCTCCTACCTCTCAGAAAATGGAAGCCCTTTGACATGAAGTAGCTTAACTTTCTACTCCCTTCCATTCACTCTTCCAGTAAGTATTTCTTGAATGCCTGTTATGTCCCAAGCACTGTGCTAGGTGCTGGGGATGAAATAAGTTCAATGTATTCCCTGCCTTGATGGTGCTTACTCTCTGGGGATGGATGCAGACATATAAGGAAGACTGGGAAGTCCAACTATTCCCTGTGTTGTGAGAAAACCCAAACTGAGCCCAGCTTTTGAGTAACCCCAGGCCAGACACGGAACATGTGAGGGAATAAGGCTCCAGATGATACCAGCTCCCAGCAAACTGCATTACACCGAGATCTCAGGCTCCAGGCTCACACCCCAGACACAGTAGAGCAAAGATAAGCTATTTCCACTGGTTCTGTCCAAATTCACGACCCAAACACCCATAAGTCTATACCCTTGTCACTCTCTCCACCCGGAACACACCTCCAATAAGACCTTTCTTATTCCTTAATACTCATTTATGCTTCCTTTTCTCCAGAAAGCATCCCCTAAACCCCTTTCTCCGGGCTGCTTTAGCGTACCTCTTCTTTAGCATTTTCTAGAAATTACCTTTGTTCATCTGGAAATTATGTGTATACACATCCTGGCACAAAGACACTGAACAGATGCTTATTAGCTGAGGTGAATATAGACTTCACTAAGCTGGCCCCAGGTAAATCTGGACATTTGTCTTTAGCGCCCTCTACCTTCCTCATAGCACCCTTCCATGTTCCCTTGTCACAATTCACTTTTAGTATCACTCATCAGTGGTATTGAAAAGCGACATTAGCTTAGAATATGTGGTTAGCTTAGAGGGCCAGCCTTCAAAAGGATCATGTGGCTTTACCAAAGTCTAATCACTTAGAACACAATTATAGACAGGGGTCTGAGCTGAACACTCTGCCCTGCTATTCCTGGCACAGAGTTTGAGAAACTGCAGTGTACATCCATGTCCAGGGAGAGTGAAATCAGCAGACTCAGGCTTACAGGCATGGACAGGTTCCCTCTGATACCTGCCCCACCTTCGGGGTATTTGCTCCTGTTCTGTGACTTGTGTCACTCCATCAGAGCTTGTGGGGGGATATTTAACAATAATATATCCCCACCCACATTTATACTCAAAACACCATTCCTCTTTGCTAGAGTTTATTTGGTCAGGAGTGGATCCAACCTGGGTCAGTCTCATTTCTGGAAATTTGGAATCAAGGCAGTTTCTCCACATGGTAAGATTTACAACAGGAAAGCTAGGGCAGCCAGACTACACAATGTGGACTAGAGAAACAGAAATGAGGCCAGAGTATTGATGGCTCTGCAGTCCTGAGTGCCAGGCTCCTTCTGTCCACAGGTTCCGATAACCTCCCTCTACCTGTATCTTGAAAATAATCATCCTATTCCCTGTAGTAATTTCGGTTGCTGTCAGTTATAATCAAAGAATCCTAACGAATCGATCCCCAAACTGTGTGCTGAGGCACCCTGGGGCACTACATGGCATGCACAAGCATACTTCGTTACTCTCTTATTTGGATCAAGTTGTATTGTTTTCAATATTTCTTTCCGTGTGCTCTATGCTCTGTGTGGGTGAAGAATGTTTGCTGACCGCTAAAGAGTTGAGGCAAGTTGAACAGACCATCAAGAGACTGATGGGAAGTACTGGTGTTCAGAGTGGTTACCAGACCGGAATAGACAGGAAGGAGAGCAGGGTGAGTCCAGTGGATCAGCAGGGGACCCAGGCGTGAGGAGCAGAGGAGTCCCCTAGAGTTGACACACTCTGATACGGGAGTTCATCGTATATACACCAGCTGGGTGATGAGCTAATCCCACAGAGTGTTCACGCTATAGTTACTTAAAAGGCAAAACCCTAATCCTGCTGAATTCTTGGTATGCAGCAGATTCAAATTATAGATCTTAAAATTTAACAGGAAAATATGTCCACACATATTGTGACCATACTGGAAGAAAAGAAATATGAAACTGAAAGTTTTGCATTTATAAATCAAAAGATTAAACTTTTAGAAAATTCACTTTATAAAGAACATGCCATTGGGAATTTGGGGGTAAGGGAGAAGGTAGCTCAGCTTTATTTATGAAAATCACTGACAAAACAATAAAAAGCCAAACATAAAAACATTTTTAGTTACATTATGAGCTGGAGCTTTATATTTCTTCATGAATTCGATTTAAAAAAGAGAAGCGCTTGACATGAGCATCAGGTCCTCAATCCACTTTTAAATCCTTGCCCACCAGCATGGCAGTCACAGGGTGCATACTTGCTTTGTGCTCTTGGTAGGTACGGATGGCTTGATCACGGGACCTGTCAAAGGCAGCCAGGTCCCTGCAAAAAAAAAAAAAAAAAAGAGAGAGAGAGAGAGAGAGAGAAGAATAAGAATGATAGTTAATTGTTAATTATTTATTTTGTTGTTTTGGCAAATTTTAAATAATCATAAATATTTATCATGGTATCTTTTTTTTTTTTCCCAGAATTCCTGCCAAATCCATAGTCAAAATAACTTTACTGATATATTTTTCAATGTATCTTGCAGTCAAGCATTCCTTTATGTTAACCAACTACTCTTTTACCTCACTGCAGCATGTGAATTAAAAAAAAATTGACTTTACTTGCTCATTGCATCTTCAGACATTTTTCTTGTCTATGCCTACTCACTAGTTATCTTCTACTTGCTTTTAAAGATCTTTCTGTATCTATAAGATTATCTTTGATTTACTTACTTTTCATCACTATCTAACCCTATTTGGCCTATAAGAGATAAATCATATATAATGCTTCTTAAAAGTTAATGAAATTATCTCAAATTTTAAATATTTAGAAGTATTAATTCCTATACAAAAATTCTATATCCTTTAACAAATATAAATATGTATTATTTTTAGATTGCATTTTATAAAGTATTTTAGCAACAATAAAAATATTGATTTAATATTTTTTTTCTTCCCCAATCTTATATAAATTCAAAGCATAATTTGATTTGGTTCTTACTTGAATAAGGGTCGTGTAAACTTCATTCTTCCTTGTTCAGTCACCATTTTTAGAGCCAA